GGTAGATTTTTCGTAGGCAGGATCATCGTAGGCTGGAGGCTCAAGCAGTTGTTGCTTGGGCCCGGATGTGTGCTCGAGGTGCCACTGGGGCCTTGCCCCTTGGTCCGTCGACAATCGTCTCTCCTGGATGAATGCTTGTTGTTGCGATCTCACGGACAGTGTGCGGGGGCTTGATGCACTCATCGCCGGTAATCTCGCCCACGGCCAACATGCAGCCTCGGCCGTAACAGCCATTCCAAAGGCCCAAAGGTCTTCGGGAAGATGGCACGTTTGGTACTCCTCTTCCACCATGTGCTTGGGCGCAGCCCTTCGGATGGCAATCCGCTTCTTTGGGGCGCTGTCGATTTCTCCCGGAGCAATCGATTTTCATGCTGGCATTCGCACATTCATCTACAAAACTCGTGCAGCAATGAACAGAGCCTTCACGCATCTGCTGCATGCTGTGGCATTGAATGCTCAGTGTCATAGCAAGGCGGATCAGATTTAGTTGCCGGGGGTGAGGGGGGGTGGGGGGGGGGGCGGGGGTTGCAAATGCCCAGCTGCGGAGTGCATCCCCATCTTGCGCGTCTGTGCTTCGCGCACGATTCCGGACAACTCTTCTGGGGTTGCGTGTGGGTATTCAAACAACAGGTTGTTGGATATGTCAAGTTAAGCACTACATTTTGTTTCGGGGGTGGCTAAGATGGTTACTAGAGTTACAGATCCTCAGATGTAAGCATTGTAGCGTGAAGTGAGCATCTCCTGGTGCAGCCGGCAGATCTGCGAGTTGCCACTGAGGTGTCCAGTCATAGCTGGGCCAGGCACCGTCCAGGGCCGTTGCAAAGGAGGCTGGCGCATCCTCCAAACTCATGTCGTTGAATTACAACTTCTGCCACATTGTGGCATTATTCGCGACAGTACAAGTACCAGTGTAGTTCATTCTAGCATGATCTCGTGTCAAATGCCCGGATCGGGTTGGCAAGCTGTTTCGGCTGTTTCTGAGTGCAATGCCTCCACGCACGTGTGCATCGGGCTCATCTCTTTGTCGGCTTGGTCGTCGCCGACGGCACTCTTCAGCCGCACGCACCACCAGGCTCAGAGTCGTCTTGGATCCCTGCTTCCATGCGCGGCTTTGTGCACTGCACGGAGTGGAGACCGAAACACAATAGTCACCCTGGGCTAATTCACGAGCTCCTGGACCTTGAGTCTTGGAGCCAACCATGTGGATGAAAGATTGCACACAACGAACGAAATCCAAATGCGACACAGAAGGCAGGCGAGTAGCAACTCTGGAGTCGGTATGGCCGGTATGTGGACTGGCCTCCCTCACTGGATACATTTGCACTTCTTGCGGCAGGAAATGTGTTTCGAATTACAGGTTTCTTCTCAGGAATGGTGATCGCATGTGTCGGTTGCTGTGCGGCCTTGGCTAGGAGAAGCCCGCGGATGAGGAGAAGCCAGCAGAGCCGGAACAGCCGCAGGAGCAGGAGCAGGACGCGGAGGCCATCTCCGGTCAGAAGGCCGGGGGCGTTTTGAGGGCCCCATGGCAGAGAACGTGGAGCGGGAGAGCTTGTGCAGCATGGTCAGGTCAAGAGCGTCGCCTTGAACCAGGCTGATTCCACACTGAATGTGCTGCAGTCCGGCCGATTGGTGAGGTGCGGAGGGTGTAGAGGGTTTGCAGTTGCGAATGGTGCAGTGTTTCGAGAGGCGGTTTGAGACACACCCATGCACACGAGCTTGGAAAACGCCGCGGCAGGACACTGACGGAAGGTGGCATGCAGTACCTCCTGGCATGCGTCCGATCGGACACGGGCATCAAGTCCGGCAGGTATATGTTCGAGGTCCGGATAGTTGAGTCCATCACTCCTATGGAGACTGGGGAGAGGACGCCTACACCGAAACAGCTGCTCAGAGTGGGCTTCTCGCTTGCTGGTAGCTCTCTGTTCCTAGCAGACGGATGCGACAGCTTTTGCTTCGATTCCGAAGGCCTGTTCATCCATGAAAAATTGCGGAAGAAGGTCGGTCCTAAATTCCGAGATGCAGTCGTGGCGGTCCTCTTGAACCTGGACCAGTCGAGCCCAAACAAGAACACCGTCAGCCTTTTTTTGAACGGCATTCGACAGTCTCCTCCCCTGCCCATACCCGAGCACCTGTGCGGCAAGCCGCTTTATCCCACTCTCTCGTTCAAGAATGTGTCCTTGGACGTGAACTTCGGCCCCTCTCCGCGCAAAGCTCTGCCGTTTCGCTGCCACATGCTGGCCGGTGCGGCGGCAGCTGACGTGGAGGCATCTCCTTGCAAAGCGTCGGCGAAGAAGCCAGAGGTGATTCTGCCAGTGGGCTTGCCCTCTCAGGGTTTTTTTGATTGGGTGGACGAGTTCGTTGAAAAGAACCCGGGCTATGTGGAGCTGAGTGATCGAAAGATCCTGGAGTGGGCACAGAAGAGTGGCTTGTGGAAGCCAAAGGCGGGTGGGTCCCTGGACAAGCCCGAAGGCCACTTCGGGGTCCCGGCACTGGATGATGGGAGCGTGCGTCGAGTTCTTTCCAACATCTCGCCCGCCCTGAACCGCAATTACATCATCGGTGAACTGAAAGGCAACTTGGTCGAAGCCGACCGCGCGGCTACTCTGGGCAGGTTCAATCCCCAGGACTTCTCTCGAAAGTCCGTGGTGGTCATGGGCGAACCCACGGCAGACTACAAGAGCAGGGTGCAGTCCCTCATCTTGGCTGAGAAGAAGACCAAGGCCGAGCAGGAGCAGAAGCGCAAGGCCCAGGCCGAGGAGCGGAAGCGGATGCTGGAGCTGAAGCGCAAGAAGGCCGAGGAGGCAAAGAAGGCCAAGGAGGCAGCTCAGAAGAAGAAGGAGGGCAAGGAGGAAAACGGAGACGACGCAAAGGCGGAGGCGGAGGAGACAGCTGAGGATGTGAAGATGGAAGAGCCCGTCCAAGTAGAACTCACAGAGGAGGAGAAATCCTTGTCCTACCGGACCTCCACAACCCCAGACATCTCAGAGCGTGAGTTGACCAAGTCTTTCGCGAAGTTCAGCCTTCCGAGCAAAGAGGAGGGCTTCGAGGCCATCAGCTTCGCATGGCAGGCTGAGGCCGACTGCGCGGCCTTGCTCAAGAAGTGGATCCTCCAGAAGAAGCTGACGCAGCGAGCCGAGGCTGGGGGGGCTGGGGGCTAAGGGGCTGGGCGCGGCTGGCGTGCCAGCAGGCATGCGGCATTTGTAGTTTTCTTGCGCTGTTTTCTTCGGCAGGACTTGCAGCCGGGTGCCGGCTTCAAGGAGACCTGGACGAAGTGGCAGAAGACGATCCAGGCGCCGGCCGAAGTGTCTCGAGACGCGAGCGCACGCGAACAAACGAAGGAACCTGAGACGTAGCGCCTCTGTCAGGAGTGGAGGAGGCGGCAGGCCGACTACAAGGAGCCGTCGAAGCGCAAAGCCCTCGCGGCGAAGAAGCTGGAGACAGCCAAGAAGGCCATGGAGGAGGAGAAGAAGAAGCTGATGGAAGCCGGGGATGAAGATGCAGCCAAGGCTCTGGAAGAGAAGTTCGCGCAAGATACCGCTCCCGTGGAAGTGAACTTCGATGACCTCGATGTCTTCGCTGTCGAGGATGTGATGGACCTTGGTAACACCATGCCCTTGTTCGCACAGTTCTTGTACGAGGATTGGGCCCTTCTGAATCTCAGAGCAGAGCTCCACCTCCTGCTGCACAACTTCAAGAAAGACTTGGACGATGCAGACAGGCCGAGCTTCGTGGAAGCCCATCTGGGATACTACTACCAGAAGTACTTCAAGAAAAGCTGGAACTTCAATCAGTACGGCCTCGCGAAGTTTGCAGACCTCCTGGATATCTTGAAGGATGCTATCTCCGTGGACAGCACTTCAAACTTCCTCCAGGCACCCTTGGAAGGCTTGCGCTTTGAGCTTTCGTTGCGGTAGCTCTGACCGAGGCTGTGCAATCCGACGATGTCGCGCTCGAGACTTTCCTGAAGTACACCGAGGCACCAGACCCCACAGCATCCCGCAGCTGCAAGGGCCTGCGGCCCGATCTTGCCACAGGACCACAGGCGAGAGCGGGAGCGCCGAGTCGACGCCGGCGACGAGACCGCGAAGCTAAAGTTCTCGAGGCCGGCGGTATCGGTTGGGGTCCCAGTACCTGCTTCTGCAGCCTTGCGCAAGGCCAGCGCCGCCGCCAACACGGCAAGCGGCTGCAGCCTCACGAAGCCCAACAAGCCACAACACTGCGAGCTGTCGCGCACAAGCGCATGCGCCGCGTCCACCCAGGACATGGGCAGTGGCAAGGGCTCGGCCAGCGGCGGAGGCAAAGGCGGGCTTGCATTCATCGAACCTTGCGACAACTTATCAGAGAACGCCAAAGTCTTGTTCGAACTTGTTGCAGGCAAATCTGGTCCAGCCTCAGACTCGTACCACGCAAAGCGGCCTTATCAACAGTCGGGGCCACCGGCTGGATCCTCAAAATTCCGCACGGGATGAGAACTCTTGAAGACGAGTTTCCAGGCCAAGCAAGCCCGTACGACGTACGATGCACGTGGATCATCATGGTCTTCCTCTTCAGGTGGGGCGTTCCGGGAGGGGTACTCCGTGAGTTGACTTGCCGAAGTGCCAACAGCCGAGGTTACTATGGTCGGCGCTAGCAGCGGCACACCTGGACCCGCTATCATTTCCAAGACCTCACGCCTCGAGGCACATCAGCCCGACATCCACATCGACGACGATCAACTGAGAGTTCTCGACTTCAAGAGGGCCAGAGACGGGCAGAGAACGGCCATTGAGGCAAGGCTTCATCTCACAGCACATGCATTGCGGCAAGACGCAGCAAGGTTCGAAAATGCAGGGTCCTGTGTCGTCGTGTTGAGACACTGTTCTTCTGGTTCGGTGGAATTGCCTCTCTGCTTTTTCTCCTTGAGCTGCAACAATCCTTTGGCAACTGCAACAGCTTACCTTAGCCTGAGCGTTCGATGCCCAGCCATTTGGGTCAAGCGCTAGTGTCTTGCCGATCAAGACATGGCCGGCTACTCAGTTGAGCGACATTGCAGCACCTCGGCCTTCTCGATTGGGAGAGGCTGTGGAGGAGCCGAAGGAAGCCAGCGAGGCTGACCCGTCGAAAGACGAACAAATGGAAGAGGCAGGGGCCTCCGAAGGGTCGTAGCTCCTCTGCATGCTCACGCTCTGCAGAGGCGGAGAAGCCTGCGGACGGGGAGAAGCCCGCGGATGAGGAGAAGCCAGCAGAGCCGGAACAGCCGCAGGAGCAGGAGCAGGACGCGGAGGCCATCTCCGGTCAGAAGGCCGGGGGCGTTTTGAGGGCTCCATGGCAGAGAACGTGGAGCGGGAGAGCTTGTGCAGCATGGTCAGGTCAAGAGCGTCGCCTTGAACCAGGCTGATTCCACACTGAATGTGCTGCAGTCCGGCCGATTGGTGAGGTGCGGAGGGTGTAGAGGGTTTGCAGTTGCGAATGGTGCAGTGTTTCGAGAGGCGGTTTGAGACACACCCATGCACACGAGCTTGGAAAACGCCGCGGCAGGACACTGACGGAAGGTGGCATGCAGTACCTCCTGGCATGCGTCCGATCGGACACGGGCATCAAGTCCGGCAGGTATATGTTCGAGGTCCGGATAGTTGAGTCCATCACTCCTATGGAGACTGGGGAGAGGACGCCTACACCGAAACAGCTGCTCAGAGTGGGCTTCTCGCTTGCTGGTAGCTCTCTGTTCCTAGCAGACGGATGCGACAGCTTTTGCTTCGATTCCGAAGGCCTGTTCATCCATGAAAAATTGCGGAAGAAGGTCGGTCCTAAATTCCGAGATGCAGTCGTGGCGGTCCTCTTGAACCTGGACCAGTCGAGCCCAAACAAGAACACCGTCAGCCTTTTTTTGAACGGCATCCGACAGTCTCCTCCCCTGCCCATACCCGAGCACCTGTGCGGCAAGCCGCTTTATCCCACTCTCTCGTTCAAGAATCTGTCCTTGGACGTGAACTTCGGCCCCTCTCCGCGCAAAGCTCTGCCGTTTCGCTGCCACATGCTGGCCGGTGCGGCGGCAGCTGACGTGGAGGCATCTCCTTGCAAAGCGTCGGCGAAGAAGCCAGAGGTGATTCTGCCAGTGGGCTTGCCCTCTCAGGGTTTCTTTGATTGGGTGGACGAGTTCGTTGAAAAGAACCCGGGCTATGTGGAGCTGAGTGATCGAAAGATCCTGGAGTGGGCACAGAAGAGTGGCTTGTGGAAGCCAAAGGCGGGTGGGTCCCTGGACAAGCCCGAAGGCCACTTCGGGGTCCCGGCACTGGATGATGGGAGCGTGCGTCGAGTTCTTTCCAACATCTCGCCCGCCCTGAACCGCAATTACATCATCGGTGAACTGAAAGGCAACTTGGTCGAAGCCGACCGCGCGGCTACTCTGGGCAGGTTCAATCCCCAGGACTTCTCTCGAAAGTCCGTGGTGGTCATGGGCGAACCCACGGCAGATTACAAGAGCAGGGTGCAGTCCCTCATCTTGGCTGAGAAGAAGACCAAGGCCGAGCAGGAGCAGAAGCGCAAGGCCCAGGCCGAGGAGCGGAAGCGGATGCTGGAGCTGAAGCGCAAGAAGGCCGAGGAGGCAAAGAAGGCCAAGGAGGCAGCTCAGAAGAAGAAGGAGGGCAAGGAGGAAAACGGAGACGACGCAAAGGCGGAGGCGGAGGAGACAGCTGAGGATGTGAAGATGGAAGAGCCCGTCCAAGTAGAACTCACAGAGGAGGAGAAATCCTTGTCCTACCGGACCTCCACAACCCCAGACATCTCAGAGCGTGAGTTGACCAAGTCTTTCGCGAAGTTCAGCCTTCCGAGCAAAGAGGAGGGCTTCGAGGCCATCAGCTTCGCATGGCAGGCTGAGGCCGACTGCGCGGCCTTGCTCAAGAAGTGGATCCTCCAGAAGAAGCTGACGCAGCGAGCCGAGGCTGGGGGGGCTGGGGGCTAAGGGGCTGGGCGCGGCTGGCGTGCCAGCAGGCATGCGGCATTTGTAGTTTTCTTGCGCTGTTTTCTTCGGCAGGACTTGCAGCCGGGTGCCGGCTTCAAGGAGACCTGGACGAAGTGGCAGAAGACGATCCAGGCGCCGGCCGAAGTGTCTCGAGACGCGAGCGCACGCGAACAAACGAAGGAACCTGAGACGTAGCGCCTCTGTCAGGAGTGGAGGAGGCGGCAGGCCGACTACAAGGAGCCGTCGAAGCGCAAAGCCCTCGCGGCGAAGAAGCTGGAGACAGCCAAGAAGGCCATGGAGGAGGAGAAGAAGAAGCTGATGGAAGCCGGGGATGAAGATGCAGCCAAGGCTCTGGAAGAGAAGTTCGCGCAAGATACCGCTCCCGTGGAAGTGAACTTCGATGACCTCGATGTCTTCGCTGTCGAGGATGTGATGGACCTTGGTAACACCATGCCCTTGTTCGCACAGTTCTTGTACGAGGATTGGGCCCTTCTGAATCTCAGAGCAGAGCTCCACCTCCTGCTGCACAACTTCAAGAAAGACTTGGACGATGCAGACAGGCCGAGCTTCGTGGAAGCCCATCTGGGATACTACTACCAGAAGTACTTCAAGAAAAGCTGGAACTTCAATCAGTACGGCCTCGCGAAGTTTGCAGACCTCCTGGATATCTTGAAGGATGCTATCTCCGTGGACAGCACTTCAAACTTCCTCCAGGCACCCTTGGAAGGCTTGCGCTTTGAGCTTTCGTTGCGGTAGCTCTGACCGAGGCTGTGCAATCCGACGATGTCGCGCTCGAGACTTTCCTGAAGTACACCGAGGCACCAGACCCCACAGCATCCCGCAGCTGCAAGGGCCTGCGGCCCGATCTTGCCACAGGACCACAGGCGAGAGCGGGAGCGCCGAGTCGACGCCGGCGACGAGACCGCGAAGCTAAAGTTCTCGAGGCCGGCGGTATCGGTTGGGGTCCCAGTACCTGCTTCTGCAGCCTTGCGCAAGGCCAGCGCCGCCGCCAACACGGCAAGCGGCTGCAGCCTCACGAAGCCCAACAAGCCAAGCGCATGCGCCGCGTCCACCCAGGACAAGGGCAGTGGCAAGGGCTCGGCCAGCGGCGGAGGCAAAGGCAGGCTGTCTGAGTGAATCGGCTGGACGTTGCCTTTCTGGTTTGAGGGGTCGATCTTCCGGACAATGAGCCTGCTGGAAAGCTACGGGAAATCAGCAGACTCCAATGCTCTCCTTGCTGCGAGGCAGACCCGCTGCATCGACGTACAACGAGAGTCCGTGCACTCAGTGTGGGAAGCGATGCAGAGTGTCTTGAGCTGTTTTGTCCCGAAGGCTCGTATGGTTATGGGAAGCGGCCGTACCAAGCCTCGTCTGGCGGTCCACCAGCACGAATCTGAGAAATGCTGAGAAGAGGAGAAGAGGGCAAACGAAACCGCAATCGATGTTCCTGCCGAGGCCAAGCAACCCCGGACATCGTATGGGTCGTATGGTGGAGGAAGTTTGCCGCCCAGCGTGTGGTCTTACTACATTGTTACTGCATCCTGACGGATGGCAAAGAGTGATACCTCCCACTGCAGGCTACGGGCGGCGGTGAGCCAGGCTGTGCCAGAGGGCGAATCTGGCAACACCTGTGCGAGAACGTGAGTGACTTAGTGAAGGGACACCCTCTGCAGGCGGAACGCCTCAGTCAGGGTTTCCCATCATGAGAAGTAGACGTGGGTTGTCATCACTCAACCGGTTGTTTCATGTCTGTTCGGGTTGGAGCTCAGGAGAGATAGTGGGGCTTCTTGGCATTCGGATAGTGCGATGTCTATTTGCAGCTGCGCTGCAGCCAGTCTCTCCCGCAAAAAAATGGAGCGTACATTTGCCAGCCAATGCCACGTGGAGTCTGCATCTCGCTGTGCTTGTCCATGCTGGGCTTGAGCGTGAGATAGCAGTGGTCGAGCTTGTGTAGGTCATGCACCCACAGCACACTCCTTGCCATGCCACAGCACACTGGCAAACCAACACTTTTCCGATGGAAGCTTCTCGATCTTCTCGTGACCTCTAAGTTGGATGGGGTCGAAGGAAGAGGAGGATGGGGCCCCCGAGGCTTTCGCAGGCACTTTGGAAGATGCCGATGCTCCCTCCTGCCCGAAGCAAGGAGCTCGGCTTCTCATCTTCTACTCCGCCGTTCATTGGGGGGAACAGTTTACACCCCAACTGAGGAGGGACCTTGAGGGCGGCCGTCTGGGCGGCCAGGGCCTGGGGGGCGAGCCTGTTCTTGAGAAGGCGCGCTGCTCTCGTCGTTGTGATGCGCGAATGACGTCGTGCCGCCACGCAGTTGCAAGAGGCAGGCAGCCCGCCGCCCGATGGCTGCCTCCCTGGTCTACCGAAGTGCACTGACGGTCGAAATCCACACACACACACATATCAAGTTTCTTCAGGAGATCCAGAAGCAGGGCTGGATGAGGCGCCACAAGTGCAGCTTCAAGTGGTGAGTGTGCCTGAGCCCCACGCGGAGGCGCCAGCTGACGAAGCAAACAGAACGAAGCCGGATGAGGCCCAGAGTCCTAGAGCTGTCGCTTACACGAGCTTCCTTTGTGCGGCCGACCCGAAAGGTACTCGTGCGGACGAGAAGAGGGTTGCCACCTCCGGTACCTCCGAAAGTGTGCTGTGCTGAGTGCTTTGAGTGTCACTGACCATTGCTGAGCAAAGAGCGCACCGAGTTCGTTTTGAGCCTGAGGCCAAGCTTGGACGAGCTGTCCAACGACTTGGAGGTCCCCTCCGAGCTGCCCAGCACGGTTTCCGCGCCGGTCCCTGCGTCGGCTCTGGTTCCAGAGGCCAGGGCAGTGCACTGCGGGATGCGCGGGATGTGGCGTGTCAGTGAGGAGGGGGCGGGCGCCACTGCGCCACCGCTGGGCCTCGGCTCCATAAGGCCGAGCAGAGCCTACGCGGTACTACGCGACCGCCGCTTCAGAGCGCGACTGCCGACGGTGAAACCGGGGTTCTTTTCCTGCAAGGACGCTTGTGGCACAGCGGCGGATCAACACGGCCCTCAGGCACCTCGCTGAGGCCGACTACGGAGCTGAGGCCGAGTCATCGTGTAACACGCACATGCCACACATGCTGCAATGCTGTGTCGAATGTTTCCTTCTAGTGAGTTCAAGCAGACACATGCCGATCTGAACGGAGAAATAGAGAAGCCATCTCTTTCTCGCTCGGTGCCTCTTTCACGGGGGTCTATGAAGCAAGACATCCTGGTTTTTGTCTCGCACGGCGTGCTCCTGCCTGTGTCTACGCAGACGAAGATGTCTTGGTCGCGATACTAGATGGCTTAAGTGCTTGACCCTTGTGAAACTGCTGAGCGATGCTGTGCAGCTGATTGTCGTCTTGCATGGATGGGCATAGCTGCACAACAAGAACCGGTGGGGGGACAATATGTGAAGAAGCAACGCTACCTGCGCCTGTATGTCGATGCAATCGACGAGTACTGCACATGTGGTTCTGTGTATACTCCAGATACTCAAAAACACATGTCTGCAGGAAGGGCAGTGGCTACACACCGCTTCTCGACCACACGGGTGTACATGTCCACGTGGCCAAGTGTCGCAGTCGCACATGTAGCCGTATATGCACCGCCATTTTAATACGTAATCACATGTAGCGAGTAACCTATTGCAATCGTCATGCATCTGGTGCTGCATGCCTCGCTCCACCCGATGAGGCCTGCGAACTGGTACGCCAGGCGAAGGAAGCCAATTGGACAATGATGAGAAACGACGCTCACCACAGTGGAACCAATCGCCATATGTAACCGCAATGTAGCCAAGCAGCCTTGTCAAGTTGAAGCACTCTAACCACGTCGTCGGTTCGGGGATCCCAACAAGTCATCGCGACCAATGCGATTGAATCTGAGCACCAACCCTTGGCCTCTCTTATCAACATGTTTGCTCAGCAAGTTTTGGGTGGGCAGCGCTCACCACAACCTCGTGGACAACCACTGCATCGAGAGCTGCCTCATGAAGATGTGCAGAGTACCCGCGACAGTGGAGCTTTGCGGTTGCAAACTTCAGTATTGGCAATCAGTGGGCACGAGCCCAGTGCCCTGATCTTCACAAAACCACGTAGCAGTTTTGCTTGCGAAGCTCCATTCGGAAGCGCAGTTCGAGAGGATGGCGGCTTTGCAGCAGTTGCTAACGCTTGAGAGTTTAAGCCAAGAAAAAGAGTTAGTGCGAATGATGCATGTCTACAAGCGCAGCTCTCACGCTTTGCTTTCGGTCGTCTCAATGCCTCCCTGAACCGACTGGGCCTCCCTGGGGCGGCAGCTCCCCCCCCAAACGAACGCGTGGTGCGTCGCTCCAGGGCCGGCAGCTCCGCCTTCGCTGCCTCGCGGGCATGCGCCGCTATGCCGAGGCTGCAGAGGCCGTTTTGAGCAGTTTTGAAGGGCCCGGGGCCCTTTGGGGGGGAGTCTGGGACTGGGAGTCTTAGGGGAGTTTAGGATGTGTCATGGGTGTGTCATGTGATGTGGTGAGCTTGGGGCTCGGGCCTCGGACCTACAGACCATAACTGACTTGTTTCTTAGTGGGAGCCCGAAAGCACTCACATTGCCGGGTTAGTTTAACGAGAAGTCATCGATCGGCTTAACTTGTCATCTCTGGCACATCGGTTTTTTGAAAAGAACAATCTTAGTTGGGAGTTGCCTAGTGAGATACTTGGGCACTCATAGCGGTTGATATTGGCCTCGCGGCGTCAGTAAATTAGGGCTACGGGTGCACCTCGGTTAGATGGGTGCAGGCAAAGGCATTCATGTTGAGCATCTAGATCTATCAGTCAGACTGAAAAGCGACTGAAGCGGGATCATGGCAGAGACGACAGGGATCATAAGGTTCAAACACGTCAGTAGCTTGAATGTTCGGGTATATAAGACAGGCATCACGCGTGCAAGTAGAAAAAGTTTGAAGAAAGAAAGATAGGTAATAGACAGATAGATCGATAGAGAGATCGAGGATGGATGGATGGCTGGCTGGCTTGCTGGATGGATGGGATGGGATGGGATGGGATGGGATGGGATGGGATGGGATGGGATGGGATGGGATGGGTGGGTGGGTGGGTGGGTGGATGGATGGATGGATGGATGGATGGATGATGGATGATGATGGATGGAAGGAGGGAGGGAGGCAGGGATGGAGGGAGGGAGGGACGGATGGATGCATGAATCCACCACTCCAAATAGTACATGGCGCAGAGCGAGAAATCATGTATAGTGTATTTGATGCAAGATATAAACCATGTGTCTTGGTGCGAGGAGTGCAAGCAGATGGGCGCGGAGGCCACCGGCTTCGAGGCAGAGCACATCGGTGGGGGGAAGCCGGCAATCGGTGGATGTTTGTGGCGCAGCAAAAGAGGTGAAGTTCTTCCTGGCTCAGCTTCCTTGGCTTCTCCATGCAGACGCCTACCAGACAATGCTGCACCTCAAGGTCCAAAGCGCAGCCTTTGCATGGCATAGAGGCCGCCAGACCCAGGGACCCTCTTTCCCTCGCCCCCGAGGCTCTGGCACAAAGTTGGCCAAGCGACGGTCGTGTGCTCAGGGACAAACCGGATGGGACAGCACAGTCCGTGGCACACACAGATCGTTTCGGCCGCTTTCACTGCAAACGTCTTTTGGTGAGGTGCCGTGCGCTCTTTTGGATTTGGGCTTCTTTGGTGGATCTGTGCCTGGGAATTCCTTCTGGTGGAGTTTGCCGTGTTGGCCGATGGGCAGCGTTGCAATGGGGATTGGTAAACTCCAAACTGTAAGCTGAACAGGGCTGGCAAATCTTAACTCGTCGAACGACTGGAGGTGGCGAGTGGAAGCTGCAATCCTCTAAACCGCAGGTTTCACACCATGATGGCACACGAACAGAAGTGTGGAGGGGAGGGGAGAGGGGAGGAGTGGGAGGGGAGAGGAGGAAAAGGGTGCAACATGAGCCAGAGACGGCGCCTATCATGTGAGACTTCCCCAGGCGCAGCCCAAGATCGACTGGAGCTGCTGCAGGCACATCTCTGCGTGTGATGTGCTTCAGACGCGGAAGTGACTTGCGAGGTGCTGTCTCATTTGTCCCTGGTGGTTGGCCACGGGCGACTGGCCACTGAAGAGTTGCAGCGTGCTCTTGCAGAAGCAGGAGGCCAGCTGCGACGCGGCATGTTGCACGGGGATCACGTGGGAATGTGACGACTGTGACCGGCCTGCGGACCAGATTGCCGCCAGCTTTGGTCGCTTCTTGGTGCACGTGCCGTGTTTGCCAGCATCTCCGCGCTTGTCGGCCCTTCTTTCTGCTTCCTGTCTTGAGCCAGGAAGGCACCACTTGTCAGCGGGCAATCTGCCCGCAGCAGATGCTGCCTTCGCAAAGGCGCAGGCTGTCTCCGGGCAGGCGCCCATGAACCATCTTGGCTCGTGCTTTCATCGTTCCGACTTTGGTCTGCAACTCTTCTCCCCGTGCACAGGAATCCACAGCCCTCTTCTCAGTCTTAGACTTTTCCGAAACTAGTGTCCCATTGTGCACCGATGCGCGCACCAGGTCTTGCTCAATTCGGGACTTCGGGCCATGGCGCTGGGCGACTTCGAGGCTGGCAGGTGCCTCTCTTAGTCTGGGCCCGAGCGGACAGCGAGACGTGGCCAGAGGGCTCGGCCTTTGCCAGGGATTCCTTCGAAGCCGCAGCTGCGGCTTTACATGCGGACGAAGGTTCGCAGCCCCAGGAGGCGGAGCGGCACAGCAGAGAACAGCAGATTGCTGCTCCCATCTTTGGCCCTCCCTGCCCACCGTAAGAGGTCCTCGCAGCAGAGAACAACTTGGCGGTCTGCAAGTTCTACACCAAGGATTGCAAGTCAGGACACAGACTCTTGCGGCCCGGAAGTCACGTCCAGGACCTTCGCGGCGCATGTGAGGGGCTAAAGGCCCCTGCCGCAATGCCTTGCACCGTGACCGCGGCATGGAGTCATGGACTTTGATACTTTGATCTTTGATGATCGCAAGAGCAAGAGCTGACAGGAAGCGAACACCAGTCCCCGGCCCCCCGGCCCCCAAGTTCCCCGAGAGAGTCGCTAGTCGCTGCTTTGCTTGGTTTTGGGTGCCGGGCCAGGCGTTGGTCGCCAGGGATCCGGTACGCTTCCTCGTGCCGTGCCTTCTGCAGAACTTGGCCTCCTTCTACGAGTTCGCACAGGACAGGAGCCCTTCTTGGGGGCTTCAGGGCGTGCGCCCAAGCCCTGTCCCCTTCTGTTATCCGGGCCTGGCCTGCTCAGAAATCTTGGCTCATGTGCTTTGGGCTTTTTTCCGGGTCAGGGTTTAGGAGGCTCCGCAATCCGCTGAGAAAGGTTTTGTTGTGGGTATACTTTCTGTTTTTGGCTTTTGGCTTCTCGGCTTCTAAGCTTTCCTTGCCGGTTTGCTGTCTTCTTTCGACTTCTTGAATTCCGAACTTTCCTTCCTGGTTTCCTGTCTTCTTGGCTTCCAAATTTTCACTCGTAGCGTTAAACCTATTTGGCTTCCTGGCTTCAAAGGAGGGGGTGCGTTTGACAAACGCGATCCACTGTAGTCGCCGAACGAGGGGGCGTGTTTACGACATAGGATGAACCGGATTCGTCACATGAGGGGGCGTGTTGAAGCAAAGTGATGAATTGGCCTTGAATTTGTTGAAGATGTATGATGAACAAATCGTCAGATGAGGAGCGTGTTAAAGATGTACTCGTATGATGAACCGGAGTCGCCAAAGGAGGGGGCATGCTTAAGATATATTATGATGAATCCGAATCGGCCTGTTGAAGATATATGATGAATCGGTCCTGAGCCTGTTGAAGATATATGACATATGATGAACAGGAATCGCCAAATGTTGGGGGGTGTGAAAGATATATGATGAATCGGAATCGCCAAATTAGGGGGCGTGTTGTAGATATATTAATGACGAAGCGGAATCACAAAAGAGGGAACGGTTGAAGATATATGATGAAGCCGAACCGCCAAAAGAGGGGGCGTGTTGAAGACGGGATGAACCGGAATCGCCAAATGATGGGGCGTGTTGTAGATATATGAGGAACCGGAATCGCCAAAATTAGGGCGTGTTTAAGATATGTGATGAACCGGTATCGCCAAACGAGGCGGCGTGTTCAGGATACAGGATGAGCTGGAATCGCCAAAGGAGGGTGCGTGTGTATGAGATATATGAATCCGAATCGCAAAAGAAGGGGCGTGTTTAAGATATATGATGAACCGGAATACCCAGAAACAAAACCGCTAAGGCTAAGTGACCCGGCACCCTCCGGATGGCCTAGCAAGAATCGGGCTATTGTGTACAAATTGCAAAGGCAAGGAGCTTGCATTAGCAGAGAGGTCTGCAAATGTACATTCAGAAAGCAGTTGCCACTTCATACGCCTTGGAGCTTGTAGATTACATAGAGTTTGCTTGAAAACACGGAAAACAAAAACTACAGACACAAAAACAAAGCCAGTACCTAAACGAATTCTGCATCCAATCTGAGAAATGAACGGTTTAGAGAGACTCTCGGCCTATCTTGACAGCTGCTGAGGTCCATAGGTGAAAATACCGAATACATGTACGAAGCATAATGTGCCTGGGAGATGCTTCTCCAGGATGCCGCCAGCCAGCGGAAGATCTTGCGGGATTTGGCAGGAGCTGCGCAGTCTGACCCTCGAATGCCTGCTGAGGAGCTTCGCTGTCTGACCTTCCAGTTTTTGGAGGCCTTGTGTTGATGGCTGAGGTTGGAGGACCTGGAGCCTAGGCTCTTCCAAGCTCCACAGACGTGAAAAAGGCGAATTCGGCAGTGTCGGGCTGTTTGAGCGGACGTGGGCCGTCGTTCCATGGCCCAAGCAATAGTTCCAGCATGCTGCTTGCGCTGCGTTGCTCACAGCCAACCCTTACCACCCGCACACCGACACTTACCCCTAGATTCAGCTAATCGTGGTAGATCCAGTCGCACAGGAACCATCCAGGCTGCAGAGAAGCTCAGCTCATTAGTCAATGGAAGTGGCCTGGCCTCGCTGTCGTGAGGTTCCACATCATCTGGCGAAGTATTGGCTATGGAGACCATTGCACAGCCGTGCTGAGCAAGCTGGACACAGGCAGCATTTCGCCACACTCTTTTTCCCTGCCGGTGTGGGCGGTGTATGCGTCCGAGTCGCTCGACGCCGCGCTTTGCGATCGAGCGCCAATCGTCGCTCCGATACGCGTTGCCCAAGATGCATCCGCGGGGCACGTTCTGGAAGCGATGGGGATTCCCAGGAGGGAAGCGAGGCAGCGGCGAATCTCGATGATTCGGCGTTTTTTGCAGCTTTCAGAAAGCGAGCCCAGGAAGTCGAGCAACAAGCAGCGGAACGGAAGGCTGCAGTAGATCGAAACTGGAAGGACGGACGCGCGGAAGTAAAGGTGGGCGCTGTTGCCAACGATTGGGTCCGGCGTGTGATCCTAGTTGATGACGAACTGTTTGTTGGCACAGCCTCGCGAGGCGTGCAAAGGTACCGGTTGGGCGGTGAGCAGCCACGTCAGCTGTTTCCAGTCAGTGGCGACCCGACCAGAAGCGTTCCAGCGGATCACCAGGCGGAATACGATCCTGAGACCAGTGTGACCTCCATCGCATGGAACGGCAGGTGCTTGTTTGCAGGGCTGGCTGGTGGACGAGCTCATGCATGGAGGGATGATGGCACACTTCTGCTGGACGTGGTGGTGTGTTCGCGTTCTACACGCCCTTGCTATGTGTTAGTGAAGGATGACATGCTGATTGCCGCTGCAGGCGAGGCCGTGATGCGCTGGTCCATCGAGGACCTCGAGTCCCAATCTGACCTTTCGGCTCACAGGATCGAGGTGACGAGCAACGTGCACAGCCTGGCTGCCGGCTTCAATGGCACCTTTGCCCTTGGCCTGGAGGAGTGCGGGGCTTTTGCGCTTTTGTGCAGCTCCGACGAATGTTGGATCCAGAGTCCCGAGAAGGGCTAGTCTAGTCTAGCAAGCGAATCAGAGGGACTAAGCAGGTCTGTAAAGAAGTTCACATCCAAGATAGAAAGCTTGAAGTCCTTTTCGGGTTGGTTGGTCGGCTCCTTCAGTCGGAGCGGAGGGGCTCCCGTGAAGACCGCAGCAGGCCGGACTGTAACTGGCAGCAGTCCTGGATGGGAAATGCAATGCGAGTTTGCAGTGTAGTGTTCAAAAATTCGTCTTAGGGAAGAATACGGAGTAAAAACGAACATCTTTCTGTCCTTGAAGGACGGGACTGTGGAGCTGCGCAGCCTGGAGCGTCTCAACCTGCTGTCTCGACGGCCGAGTGCCCACCGTTACGCGGTCTCTGCCTTGCTCGTTTTGTCGGATACGATTGTGACAGGAGATGCCGCTGGAAACCTGGCGTCCTGGCGGACCCAAGATGCATCGGTCACGCCGGGGGAGGACTGGGAGAAGCTTTGGCAGCGCGAGCATCGTGGCCGGGTAGTGGCTATCAGCCAAGGTGGGGGCCAGGTCATCGTCACTGCTGCCCTGGATAGCTTCATCCGCATCTGGAATCTGTCGGGGGAGCTCCTCTTTGCCATCCCTGAACATCGTGTCTGGCTTGGTTCGCTAAGCATGTCCGTGGACAACAGCCTGATGGCAACGGATGGCCGAGATAACGCTGTGTACCTCTACAGATTCTCTGAAGACTGAATCCTGCTCAGAGAACAAAGTTTTGCACACGCAGGCAGTGACAGTGCAAGCCAACAAGCGTGTCTCTGCTCATGTCCGAGAGTCGGATCCCAGGTTCAAGCTTGTGATAGAATGTAGTCTGCCACAGCAAGCGGCCGCAGAGGCCGAGAGAGTCCGTCTACTTGCCGCCAGTGGAGCATGTCATCATTCTCAGCTGCGCAGGCCGGTGAATGAGACGGTACCAGCGAAATGGGGTGCACGACTTAGCTGCGTGCTTTGCAATGTTCCCACAGAGATGACTTCCCTCCAAGGTTACCGTGAATTCACATTCGGCAAACGAAGTAGCACACTCATGTTAGGCTCAACTAAGGAATAATGGGTTTTTAACACAATCATTTCCTCGAGAGTGTAGGGTTATCCAGCTCTGATTGGTTTGGCGTTCACCAGCCAGTATCGCCGTAAGCGGGTTTAGGGTTTCCTACCTCGCTCTACTTGCGTTTCGTGGTTTGGCAGCTCGCAAACACCAGCAATTTCAGGGTGGAGATCGACGAAAGGACAGAACCGGACAGACCGAACCCAACAACAACGGGGCCCACAATGACCTAACCTAGCACCACACCTAACCAAAATTAAACCAACCTTAAACTCAACCTCAACCTCGGTGTGACATGATAGAGACTGACTTGATCCAGCGAAACCTAGGCCTGAGGTCACTGAAACCCATCCTACGTGGTGAATCAACCTGAGCCAGAACCCAGTCTCGTCTAATCAGCTTAAACTCACCTACAACCGACAACCTAACCTGCCTGAGCCAAATCTGTCCGAACCTTGAACCATTTCAGTGAACGTGCATTTGTTGTCAAACAGATGCTGAGAGAAAGCGTGGGTGCCTAGTTGTGGAAACCATCAGAGAGTCTGAGCTGCATATGGGGCTTGGCTCAGTGACGGCTTCTCCCCGCTTGGCAAATGTCGAAGCATTGCCGAGGTTGCTCCCAGCTTGGATCGAAGAGGGTCTGCCCGATGCCGATCATGTGCGGCACTCATGGAGCTTTCAGCTAAGAGTCTCAGAGATTGAGAGGGTTATGTAAGTTTCATTGAAATTTTCAGACCCGGTGGCATTCTGCAACTTGACCCGCGGAGGTGTTCGCCTACGATACAGTGAAGCTCGTGCGCATCCTTGACCGGCGCTTGGGGCATGGCGCTTGGAGCTGCGCACGCTCTGCACTTCGCCATGTGATCGCACCATGTGTGCTTGTGCTTAGGTTCATTTACTGGGGCGTCCAGGCGCTCGTTGCCTTTTATATGGTCAGGATCCAAGGTGCTCCTAGCCGCTCTGGAACACGGCACCCTGATAAGTTTCTGATGCAGATAGTCATCGTCTTCATCATGAACAAGGCTTATCAAGACACGGTGCCCCTGGCATGGAGACCGCATCTTTGGCATGCCTTGCTTTGCAAGCGACCAGAGCCAGAGACATTCCAGGAGAAGTCCACTGGGTGGATGCTGACGCAAGTACTCCAGTCCGGGCTCCAAGTTGAGTGGCTCACCGGGCAGCATGGACCCTATTCATGGCGTTCGGTGGCCAAGTGTCCTTGTGCCGACCGGAGCTCGTGAAGCAAAAACGATACAGCACAACGTTCTGGGCGTTGTCGGACTTCTGTCATCTGTCATCTGTCACGAGATTCGAAGAAAATCTTGCAAGGACCGGGCAGCGCTGTTTCAAGAGACTCGTCGGCAGGCCACAGATCTCCCACTTGGGCATCAGCTGGGATGTGTACGACAGAATCACAAATCCCGGCTCCGATCTCAGCATGGCTGTGTCATAATGTGAATTGGGAAACCGGACCATGTCGGAATTGAGATCCGAGCAGGTGAGGCGGATGCAGTGTTCATCCCCACCCGGATTCTCATTACGCGAGGTCAGACTCAGGCAGGGAGAGTGGGAGCGAGCGGCGAAGTCAGACTTGCCTGCGGGTCTTAGCTCGTGCTTCTAATCCCTCTGCAGGAGGACGAATATTGCGAATCTCCATCTCATCCATGCAAGGTATCGCGCCTTCTTGAATTGGAGCACTGCTTCTCGAATCGGAGCTCGCAAGGAAGCGCGAGATTGCAACGTGGGAGATCCCCAAGTGCAGCGCATGGCCGCTCCCCAAGGGGTTTTGGATTCTCGACAATCGAAGCTCTGAGCCGAGAGCCGACTCAAGGAATGCCAGAACGGTTTCTGCATGCGGCGACAATGGTGCCCTGCAGAGAACGAGAACTGGGCCACCACGGAGGCTGTTGCGTCGCCGAGCCCGTGCCCTTGTCAAGTTGTGTCCCCTTGCCAGACGCATTATCTCGAATTCGACAACGTGGAGCTGTGGTTCAAGTCTTACGTACACTACCACAAGCCCAGCCCCTGGCTTCCTCTCCTTGCAGTCCCAGCAGCGCGAGCTCGCCGCACTGTAGAACCGCAGCTCAGGTTTGGTCTTGATGTGACCACCGCAGATGAGAAAGCGTCCATTAAATACCCTCAGAGGTGCGGCCTCCAGTATTCGGCGTCAAAGAGACTGTAATCACGCAGTCCAACATGGTACTGTGGTGCCAGGGGTGCCAACACATATCGGCTTCAAGACCTCATTCGCATGACAAACTATGCGCCAGAGGACTTGTCTCCTCGCACTTAGAATGCTGCGGCCGGCATGAGGAGCAAGCCGGGCCAGTTTAAGTGCAGGAGTTCGTGGAGCTGGGTGCAGTGATGGTGTTGAACGGCCTCTTCGACTGCAACCTCGACACCGAGCTTTGCGAGATGAAGGCCAGGAACAGCGCCGGATATCCTGTGGAGGCTGGGCTTAGGCTTCCTCTCTGAGGTGGAGACAGCCACAGTGGACACCAAAACCGGCTTCAACCATGTGTACGAGAATATCTACTACGAGGCATTGGAGCCCAAGTGCTTCTTGTGCTCCCCAGGCTTTTTGTACGGTGTCTTTTGTCCCAGAACGGCGTTCGCAAGCGGGACGTCTACCGCATGTACGGCATCAGAGTGCTAACTCTAGCCACAGGTTGGCACCCAAGTTGTGCATTCTTGCGCCTCGATTTGCAGGATAAGCTCAGCCTTGCATGTCTGTTTGTAGAGAGAGAGCAAGGATTTGGCGGAAAGACAAAGTTCTCACAAATTGTGCGCAGCACAGTGGTCTTGCGATGCATACTGACGCAAACACGTCTGCGCTGCTTTCCGACGAGGTTCTGCAGCTGTCTTCTGGTATCGCACTTCTTGGCACAGCTGAGCTGGCCGGGGGACTCTGCTCGATGATTTCAGAAGTGAGAGTGAAGTGAGGCAAGAATGCAATGCAGCTGCGTGGGTTGTGCTAAGATTGCGGACTTCTGGCTGATGAACTGCGTGCCCGAACGCAAGCTCGGACCCTAGACTTTGGACTGCTCGGATCGTGAAGGTCCATTGTACAGTAAATCGGTGACACCAGGCACTACACCGAGCAGAAGATCAAACAGATGGATGCTGCTAGCGATGCCTGATCGCTAGATGCCCGTATCCCGCCTTAAATTGCTGGACCAGCCTTTCACAAGTTTTCGATGAAGGCGTTCTTCATCGGCGCACCAATCTGTCAGGGTGCTGCGCATTGCTTTCTGTACCGTCTCACCAAAGTCAGTTGTTGAGACCTGCGGCTTGTGGCAAAACATCACGTTGAGCTCCATCCTAGATCCCTGGCCTTCGACCGCACCGAGCTATTTTGAGACATCAGACTTCGATGAATCTGGTCTCCAACACTGCTTGGCTCAAGTGGTTCGGCCGTGAGTTCTTTCGGCGATTTGTCAGCTAAGAACTCAGTGCAGCGCAGTGCCTTCTTCGATCCGAGACTGTGGTGCTGGCTTCCTTCGTCTACACCCGGCTGAGGTTTCCAATGTTTCGTATCGCGATAGCCGTCTGTGCGAGCCTGGCAAGGCCTGCATGAGATCTCATGCTGGAACATGACATCCTCTCACGTCCGAGCTGTGCAGGCACAGCCTGGCTGATGAGTCATGGCAGGACGCGAACCGTTGCGACCACTCGTGAACACAACTGTCTTTTGGTTGCCATCGCCTTTGTAGGACACGCCAATTTTGACGTCCTTGTGGCAAGCGACATCCAGCAAGGACAACGATGCCATTGACAGGCATTTCAGCTAAGCTCGTGAAGCTGTTGCGACAGCCACTGTAAATTCAGCTGTAATGCAGGCTGCTGGACAGCAGTGAGTCCGCAGTGTCTTCACGATCCGGCGATGGACGTGGCCTGGCCTGGCTGCTGCCCTAATGACATGTCACACGTGACACTGCTGCAAAGACTGAGAGATGCCCAGGTGGGCGTGGGAATTTCAGAACGAGTACGTCCTGGCATCCATCATGGTGAACGGCGGCGATATTTTGTCCGAGGATGAGGACATCTTCTTGCACTCCCGCGCACTCCCGTTTCGGATGCTGTGCTGAGCTACTGAGGACGAAGCGGGAAAGCCGGCCTACCGGATGTGATCTTTCCTGAGTCTTTGTGCCACCACGACCCTTCGTCCGAGTCTCCGAGTCTGAGGCTCCGACAATTCCGACTGCGACAAGGAGAGCCTGTTGCAGAAGGCTAAGGGTCTCGCAGAGGAGCGCAGCTGAACTCGATGTCGTCACTTCTGCATGCGGGCCCTCCAACCCTTCAAGTCATTGCAGGACGTCAAGAAGGCCAAAGAGCAGCGCGCGGCCGAGCGCGAGAAGGCGCCGATCTGGGGTCAAATTCGCTGGAAGAGTTTCAAGTCGAACGCAAGGAGGATTTCGACGATGAGGACGAGGAAGAGCATCCTGGACTAACGGATGACAGAGATTCGAGTTCTCAACATCCTTCCCCCTTCCCTGCCCACGCCCTCCCCTGCACTCCTCTATTGGAGCATATTGGAGCTGGCCGAGGCTTGGCGACGACGAGTTCTGAGGAACATTCCTCCCCCGAAGCTGGTTTTGAAGCTGAGCATGCAGATTAGTGTTAGAGATGTCAGAAAGTTAGAGTCTCGTGAGAATCTTGGTCTTAGTTAATGCGCCTTTGAGTCCAGATCTGAGAGGCTCCACATCGAGAGCACGGAATGTCTCATACATGGACTCCTGAACCTCACAAAGAATGCACAAGTCTGTGACGATCCTCAAATTTTGTGATCGGATCGCACCCGGGCTGTGTAATTAGACACCGGAGAAAGCCGATGCAAGGCTGTTAGCGTTGCATGTGAGCCTCAAAGACCGCAGTGGTTGCGCCCGACAAAAAGCACAGACGTGCTGCCTTCCACCATGCAGCCTGGCTTGGCAGTGCTATTTCAAGCAGCATTTCTGTTGTCTGTTTTAGATCAACGACAACACGAGTTGATGAGGGTGTAGCTGGAAAGTGTTGGCTTTGGGGTGGATGACCTCGCCTGCCCTGACACTGACCTACTGCACCGATACGAATATTACAACACACAACGAACCTGCAAGCAAGTTTCCATGCGCGTTGCAAGGGAGCAGCTGCAACCAGCCCGAAGGATCGTGTCTTACCGACGTGTTGCTCAAAATCATGATGTAGGCAGATCCCTCCAGCACAGACGTTACCTGTCCGAGCTCCGGCAACACAGACAGCTGCGGGCTGAGTTGAGGTCGGTGTCTGAGCATGAATTGAGGTTTTTGATGTTGCTGCTGTGTCAATAAGGGATGCCTTCCCCGGCGGACAAGCGCAAGATTGTGAAGAAGCGCACGAAGAAGTTTCCACGCTTCCAGGCGGATCGCTTCAAGCGCATGAACCCTGCCTGGCGCAAGCCACGAGGCATCGATGGACGAGTGCGAAGACGCTTTAAGGGCTCCACTCTTTGCCCAAAGATCGGATACGGCTCGGACAAGAAGACCAGATTTCGCCTGAAGAGTGGCTTCTACAAGTTCTTGGTGCGCTGCCCAGCAGATCTGGAGATGCTCCTCATGCACAACGAGAAGTATGCAGTGGAGATTGCGCACAACGTCGGGGCCAAGAAGCGCAAGGAGATCGTGGAGCGCGCAGACCAGCTGCGCCTCTACGTGCGAGACCCACTGCTTGAACAGTTGAGCTCGGGCTTGAACTGTCATGTGGCCATATGAGAGCAGTGTTTGAAGCAACGTCCTGTTTTGCTGCCCAGGTCACTAACCGGAATGCACGTCTCCGAACCGAGGAGAACGACTGAGTGCAAGTCGCGCTAAAGATCGACAATGTGCTTGGAGATAGAAAAAGGATAAGCTGCTCTTGTTCTGGGCTCTTTTCGGACTACGTGCTGTGTCGCCCTGTATAACCAGTTGTAGTGATGGAGTTGGACCGCCACTGGAGATGTTTTTCGGGGAAGCCCTTCGCCGATATCATGTTGTGGATTGTATGGTGGCCATGTTACCGCTCAAAATCATGATGTAGGTAGATCCCTCCAGCACAGACGTTACCTGTCCGAGCTCCGGCAACACAGACAGCTGCGGGCTGAGTTGAGGTCGGTGTCTGAGCATGAATTGAGGTTTTTGATGTTGCTGCTGTGTCAATAAGGGATGCCTTCCCCGGCGGACAAGCGCAAGATTGTGAAGAAGCGCACGAAGAAGTTTCCACGCTTCCAGGCGGATCGCTTCAAGCGCATGAACCCTGCCTGGCGCAAGCCACGAGGCATCGATGGACGAGTGCGAAGACGCTTTAAGGGCTCCACTCTTTGCCCAAAGATCGGATACGGCTCGGACAAGAAGACCAGATTTCGCCTGAAGAGTGGCTTCTACAAGTTCTTGGTGCGCTGCCCAGCAGATCTGGAGATGCTCCTCATGCACAACGAGAAGTATGCAGTGGAGATTGCGCACAACGTCGGGGCCAAGAAGCGCAAGGAGATCGTGGAGCGCGCAGACCAGCTGCGCCTCTACGTGCGACACCCAGTACATGAATTTGGTTGCGCTCTTTGGATAGTTGAGTATTGCACCTGTAGGTTAATTGCAAGCGCAGCTTCAGAGCACCCAGGTCACGAACAGGAATGCACGCCTCAGGACAGAGGAGAATGACTGATAACCGCCGGAGACAGGACATGCGAAAGTTTGCTGAGACGGGAAGCTCAAAAGTTCTTGTGATGATAGTCTCACATTTGCAAGCACATCCGCCGTCGTTCGTGGAGAAGTGTTTTCATGAGAATGCAGCCACCATTTCACAGCCCGCTTCAAGGCAGAACCCATGCGATTAGATCAGCCCTGCCATGAGACATTGGTCTACAATGAGAGAAGGTGACAAGTAGCCCTGACAGGAATCTAGGCATCTGCATCTAGGCCGTAGGCGCCAATCCTGACTTTGACACCTCATGGAAGTCCGTGTCTCAGCTTTCCGCATGGCTGGCTTATTTAGAGTGCGTTGCTCTTCCTCCTTTCCTGTGCGAGGAATGGCATACAAAATTCGTCCTTTGCCTTCCCTCCAGCATGGTGTACTCTCTCCCGAAGTTTGTGCTGGCATCTCAGGTGTTGCTTGCACTCGTGCCTTGCATTTCTGAGCCTGCAAAGGCCAAGGCATTCTTTTCGACAACGACGGGCGACACGCTGAGGTGGGAAGTCTTTTCCCAGACTGCTGCCAATACCGTGCCCCCCCTTGGCAGTGTGCAGTGAAACGACACTGTCACATAGTTCGAGTGTGCAAGGAACCATTTCGAGGAGCCAGCAGATGCGATGATGGCAAGGCAAGGGGGCCGCTTTCATTGTTTACTGGCAGCTTCCCCTTCGCAGCCATTTTCTGGCATCTTCGCTTCATTGCCATCGAGTCCTGCAGATGGCATGGTGTCGCTGGCACCTGCTGTAGGTAGCTGGCGAAGACGAGCAAAGACTGTCAAGTCGTGACGGAAATCACCCACCCGAGCCCACTTGGTTGCCTGGGAGGAGTTCGTCCTTCCAGTCCATCCTGCAACCCACTAGATATCAACCTTCGGGGGCCCTGCCCTCAGCTCGAAGATGCAGCATTTGCTTGAGAGCTGGAAAGCTTACGACGTTCAGGTTGACAGTGGCATGAGGCGCTCCATGTGTACATACCACTCGCATTTCATCCAGCGCTCTTTGGATGCCTGGGGCCCCACCAATGAGCTGCGCGAGCTCTACAAGCAACAGGCACGTGGGGCAGGCTCGGAGCACCTGCATTCGTCCTTGGAATGGGGAGCCCGGCTGTGTAAACCGTGCAGAGACACAGGAGCCAATGCCCCGAAGCCTCCCTTGAGCTCGGCCGAGACCTCAGTTTTCGGTCTCAGTGTCAGTCCGGAGCAGAAACACCGGTCACCAGCCTTGGAAGGTGACCACGACCCGTTCTTCCTATCCTGCCTATGTTGGGCCCCTAAGAGCTGAGCGGATGCATGCTCCGATGTGCCCTCGGCGAGTCTCCGCCTGCGAGGATCCCGAAGCGGCCAGCGCGGTGGCGGCCAAGAACCGGAAGCCAAGTGTGGCGATGGCCATAAGATGTCACAAGCGAGTTGTCACGGTTGTCAGGTTTCGGCCCGCAGAAAGAAAGTCGCTCAGGCCGTCCATGTGGACCCGGGAGCCAAATTCATGGAGCACCAGTCTGTGCTGCATCGCGACTTCTCCCGATTCGATCGACAGCAGCTGCCATGCGCTCAACCGCTGTAGGCCTCGTCGATCCCTTGCCAGCTTTGCCCTTTGAGGCGGAGATGTCAGATGCAAGCCGCGCCGCCACCCCGCGAGGCGAAGCTGCCCTGCCCTCGGCCCGCCGGCTCAAGGCGAAGCCCAAAAAGACATCATGTTGACATCATGTTGACACAGAGCCTGCAGATCGTCTAAGGGCTCCGCCCCTATGCCCAGACCAAGCCAGCCGCTTCGAAGGCAAGGACGTAAGAGGAACTGCCGAGTATGCCAGCAAGTGGCGTGTTGGCTTTCCTACCCTGCAGGCGTGACGCAATACCAGCGAGATTACGCAAGGAGATGAGGGCGAGGCTGAGACAGTTCTGAGTGCATGCATTCATTCCTAAGTCCTAAGTCATCTATAGTCTGCTGTGCCAGCGCGGCCACTGTCATCAATGCAGCTGTATCTGCAAAGCAACCACCGAGGGCGGCTACGTCTTCGGAACTGGCATCTGGATCAGAAAGCTTGTTGTGTTTTTAAGGAGCTCACCACCCAGTGTCTCACAGTTTCTGCACGGCATGTTTGCGAGGCCGCGTGGGGCCTTGTGCAATTAATGTAGGTTGCACAGCGGCGCTTTCCTGCCGGGTGAGATGTCCAAGACAGTTCAACCCAGCTGTGCCACTACCGGCTGCCGCACGCACACAACGCGGAAACACTTGCAAATGTGAGTTCTTTACTGCAGGTCAGATGAGCGGGATGAAAGTTTTCAGGGAAGGGAGGAGGGGCTTGAAGTTGGCGTTTCAGTTTCCAGAGATGAGTTCGAAACAATCGGGCATTTGGTCGCTTTGCCGTGCTGGGCTCGGATCAAAGTGCCTTGAAGTGGCCTTGCCAGCGATGCACAGAGAGATGCCACCTGCCGATGCAAGTAAATCACCCTGTAACGGTAGCCCACCACGACCTGCTACTTGCAGCTATTTCAATATCCTGCTGCCCGACTTGCGGATTTGCGCCTGATGTGCAGATGGCCTCGCCCGTGGAGCGCAGGAACGTTGAGGGTGAATCCTGAAGGATGTCGTCCACATAGACCCTATACGTCTGCAAGGACTAAGGGAGCCAACAAACTGGGCCCTTTCAGCGACTTCCTGGACCCTCGCGTTGGAGCTCTCGCCGCTAGGATGCACCCTAGGCAGCGCTGTTTCGCTGGCGGAGTGACAGCTGTGATGGTATATGCATGTCCAGGCAGGCAGCCAACTTGAAGATTCAAGCGATGGCGATGTGGAGCCTGGCGCAGCACCACTTGCACCCCCTCTACCACGAAGTCGGGCCGTCGGGCTCGAAGGATGGGTTCCTCCACGGTTGGAGTGGGGTTTCTTTTTGGGTGCATTTTTTTGTTTTCGCCTGAATGGCTTCAGCCAGTCAGTCGGCGAGTCGATCCATGAGTCAGTCGGTCGGTGCCGCGCGCTGAGCGCCAATCAGTCAGTCAGCCGGTCGGTCGTCCGCGAGCCCGGCGGTCAGTCAGTCAGTCCGTGAGCCCGCCGGTCGCTCAGTCAGTCAGTCAATTGGGCGGTCGGTCGGTTGGTCCCAGGCATCGAAAGAATCGAACAGCGATTGCAGCCCGTAAACACTAACGAACTGATCTTTCTTTTTCGAAGAACGAAGATGGAAGGGAGGAAGGGGGCAGGGCGTGGTTAAGATGTATGATGAATCGTTATCGCCAAATGAGGCGGCGTGTTTAAGATATTTGGTGAACCGGAATCGCCAAACGAGGGGGGGGGCATGTTCGGGATATATGATGAACCGGAATCGCCAAATGAGGGTGTCGTGTTCAAGATATATGATGAACCGGAATCACCGAATGAGGGGGCGCCGTGTTTAAGATGTATGATGAACGGGAATCGCCAAATGAGGGGGTGTGTTTACGATATATATGATGAACCGGAATCACAGAATGAGGGGGCATCGTGTTTAAGATGTATGATGAACAGGAATCGCCAAATGAGGGGGTGTGTTTAAGATCTACCATGAACCGACATCGCCAAATAAGAGGGCGTGTTGAAGATGTCTGATGAACCGATATCGCCATGTGACGGGGTGTGTTTTAAGATTTTGTGATGACCCAAATCACCGAATAAGGGTGGGTGTGTTAAAGACGTATGATGAACCGTTATCGCCAAACGAGGGGTATTGTTTAAGATATATGGTGAACGGTTATCGCCAAAGGAGGGGGGATGGTGAACCGGGATGACCAAATAAGGGGGCGTGCATCAGATCATGCGCCAAATGAGGGGGCATGTTTAACATGTATGATGCATCGTTATCGCCATCTGAGGGGGCGTGTTGAAAGTATATCATGGACCGATGTCGCCAGATGCAGTCCCTTTGCAATTGCGTTTGCAAAACGGGAGCCGCCCCCCCCCCCCTCCACCCCGCGCTTTCTCAAGGCGCTCTAGCGAACGCCTTACCATCAAGAACGCTATGCGGCCAAGTGCGATTGCCAGTAGCAAGTCAAGCACATAACTCTTCGAAGTCCGTCCTAGAGGCCCAACCTGGTCCGCGCAAGCTTGCTTTAGGAACATCGTGCCATCAAGACCGTAACGCCATAAAGCCGATGCATCCAGAGCCTGAACTGGCGGGGCCGGACCAACGGATTTACAAATTGAGTGACGGACCGAGGGCCGAAGACCAGAAGGCTAAAAGACCTCGCATACAGCCTCAGTTCTCGCCATCCCTGTGACTCTAGCAAGTCTTGTATACGGATCGAACCGAAAACCAGCAAAATACACAGAAAAGACAAAAAACAGACGTTTGCCATGGCGGTGCGTAAGGTCAACGGCTTCGCTCAGAGGGCCGGACCTGCGAAGCAAGGACCATCCAAAGACGTGAAGAGCTTTAGCATCCCTGCCAGCATTTGCGCAGGAACGGAGAGTCATGTCGTGATCGAGCGGATCGAGGCTAGCAACAGGGGTCCTAGTCCTGGTGCTTTCTTGCAGACATTTTTGCAGAACTTTCTGCAGAGGCCCTCGAGGCGGCCATGGAATCATTGCGAAAACAGCAGGCCTGCGCCCTGCTGAGCCCTGCCTTGCCGTGCTGTCTCGCTTGAGATGGCTGCTCTCCAGGCTGCCATGGAGCAGAGACACGAAGAGGGCGAGAGCATTCGCCGCGGTCAGTGTGAATCCTAGCCCTGCGTGTGAAGGGCTGCTTGCAGAGTGCTGCAGCTGCAGTGCACGGCTGGCCATGGAGGTTTGACTGCTTGTCACAGCGCGTCTTCGAGGCTGGGGTTGGGGTATGCTGGCGCGCTTCTGACTCACAGACGGCCCTTGGCAGCTGAGGCAGAGAAGTCGCAGCGGCAGGTTCAGGAACGAACCGATGATGCAATCGAAAAGGTGGGGCCCCCGGGCCCCAGCAGCCGGTCACCAGTGGTCACCACACCAGCCTGCAGCCTGAGGCGCGGGCGGCCTTTCACAAGACAGCGTCAGACATGGAGCACGAGCGCTCCAACCTGATGTGCGTGATCAACCAGGCAGGCTAGCGATGCTAGCGGCAGGGCGGGTGCGGCCGGCGTCTAGTGGCGGCAGAGTTCGGTGGGTGGTGGGTGATGTGGGTGCATCTGAGGTGAACCAGAACTTCGAGCACCTATCGCGGGAGATGGCGCAGCTCATGGATGTCGTGAGCAGAGGGCAACAGGACCTCCGCAGAGCTCCGCAGCAGGGCTCTCTGCTCTCTGCTAGAATCTGACGTCTGAGCTCCTGCAGGAGCTGCTTCATGTGCAGCAGGCCCGGAGCGGAGCAAAGCCTGGAAGGGATCCGAAGCTCCCTGTGGGTTGCCAGGAGGTGGTCGATCTGCGGGAGCAGAAAAGTCATGTGGATACCGAGATGTCCGTCTGTGTTCAGAAGTTCGACCAGAAGCTTGAGGCTTGCAGCTTGCGTGCAGCACACAGTTATCGCCTGTTGCCGAGATCCGACGTTCACCCTGCGTTCCTGCAAGTACACTGCGCAGAGGTAACAGTACGCTTTCCTTCGCCTTGCTGGGTTGTCAGAAGGAGCTGCAAGCCGATCACCGGTTGGAGGCCAGTCAATTCCAGCCCGCGGCCGAGACTCTCTGCACTTTCGCGAGACTCCTCTCGAAATGCTGCCGTTCTAGAGCTAGTCCTGGGGAAAGGCATTGCATCAACATGCAGATCCTGGAGATCCAGCGCCAGCTGCGGCCCTGGCCTCAGAGACAAATTCGCTTTTGTCGGGGGTTCCAAAGTTTCCTTCATGCTCCGTTGAGTTTTGCGGGTCGTCACAGCTGCCTTATGCACAGGCCAGACTTCCCTACTGCAGTTTTTGCCCACCCTGGCTGCTCAATCTTTACCCAAGCCTCTAGCTGCTGGCTAGTCGGAAGCCGGATTCCTTCAAACGGGTTGAATTGTCGTTCTATAATTGGTGATTTTGCAGATCTCTGAGGCTTCTGGAAATGCTGCTTCGAGAGGTTTGAGGCTCAGGATGTCGAGACCAGCATGGCATGGCCCAAGCCTTCGCCCCCCCCCCCCCCCCACCTCCTCCCGCGCACGTGGCACCAAGGAGGACGCCCTGCGAGGCGGTGACCTTTCTGGGTCCCTGAATCCACGAAGGCAATGAAGTGTAGCATTTCGTAGCTGTCTACAAACTTTCCAGAAGTCCGTTGAACCAGAGCAGTCCGATTTCAGCGCTGATGATCTTCTCGAGCCAGGTGGCTCTCGCAGGGTCCAGAAGCCGATTCGCTACCGGCAACGACCGTGGGAGGAGGAGGCGAGCGGTGTCCTCTGCTCGTTGGATAAGCGTCTGTTGAAGTGTATGCCTGCTGAATCAGGCTTCCGTGTGCACTGACACAGAGCCAACCTGAATAGCATCTGCTGCCAGTGTCTACTGATGCAAGCCATGGAACAAGAAAGCAGGACGCGAACGACCACCCACAAGCACCTTCTTCATGAAGTTTCAAGCAGTGGCAGACATTTTTTCACTCAGACCAGTGTCTCACCCTGGAGCAGACATCTGTGACCGGTTACACTCGCTTTCCGATGCTCGCCCAAGTGGCTCCCGCAGAGGACTTTGGAGGTGGCTCACTTGTGGCTCCACGACTGGGCTCAAGACTCACAGCACTTGCAAGATCACAGGAACAGTTGCCATGAATTCATGGACAATATTGGATGGGTTCATGGATCATGACTTGGAGCCAACATGAAAAGCTTTCCTTGCACCTCGAAGCCCTCGTCCCGAGTCAACACCCGGAAGCTTCCGGAGCATGGGCCTCAAGCGTCCTGCCGATGTCGAAACAATCGACGTGGGCGACGCGGAGGCGGAGGATGCCCAGGCCGAGAGAACGTCTGAAGGCCCGGACTGCAGAGAGAAGCCTTTCAGGCCGTTCAGGCGCCCGCCGTCCAAGTCCCTCCACCGAAACCGCGGCCGGATAAGGAGCCCTGAGCCCGGCGCAAAAGGCAGCGAGCACCCCGCCTTTTGTGGTGCGTCTATGGCGAGGACAAAGCGTTGCGCTGGAGGTTCTCACCAGCTGCCGAGGCAAGAAGCTGCTGCGGCTGCATTTGGGCCGACGCACTGTAGAATTTTTCATGCTCATTCAATGCTCGTCCATGTAGAAAAGTACTTCGTGTGGGCAGGCCATTGATGACTCCTGCTGCTTCGCGAGAATCCAGCCCGGCACTTGGCTTTAAGAAGCGGCTTCGCACCACTGCAGTACCGCTCCCGCTCCCTGCAAGGATAGATGGACTGGTTCGCCAATGTGACCAGAAGCGACACAAGGACAGAGTGCCGCAGGAGTGGTTCTGCGCGCAGCACTCAGGAAACCGCTGGAGCCTAGGCTGCAGAGGATTTTCAAGGGGTGCTAATAGTAAGATTTTGAGGCTTGACGGGCTTTGATGTCGCCCAGCGAATCTCCAGGCAGATCCTGGGAAGAGTGGATGGAGACATCCCCAAGGCAGCTCGGTCTAGAGCGGTCCTCGCTAGAGCGCTTCTGCTCGCCGCCGCGAGACAGGCGCAGCTCGCAGCGCTGCTTCAGAAGGAGTGGCGTTCTGCGCTCGAGCGGCTACAAGTAGCGCATCTTGCAATTTCTGAGATGTTCGGCAAACATCGACTAGTACCGGCTAGTGGCCTAGTGACGAGTTGCTGATAGGCGTTGAACAACACTGCCGACAGGCAGCGGAGCCCCGGGAAAGCCAAAGTCATCCACAGGCCGTGTCGTGGACAGCTCCTTTCCGCCCAATCTAGTAGGTGGGTTCCAGTGATAAACACGGACTACTCAAAGTATTCAAAAGAGCTAGTCTAGTCACGCCACTCCGCGAGTGCTGAGAGGCCGTTCCGAAAGGCGGCAGAAAGGTGCTGCGAAAGACTTGCCTGAAGGCTCTACAGGGTCTAACTAATGCCGCAGAGAGCCTGTGGCATATTCCATACCGCAGATGCTAAAACTGAGCTCCGCAGACTTTCGTGATCCACGTTTCAAGCTCTGGCAGGCTCTTGGCTCCAAGGAGCTGTCAGGTCGTCCCCGCCCGCTTTTTGAGCCTCCTTGTCCTCCTCTTTCTATTGCCGCCAGACGTTACCCTCCAGACGTTCGGGAATCCTGCCCAGGCGAGTGCATCTCGCAAAAGCTGCAGGCAGCGTGAGCGAATTCGGATTCATGTGCTGGACAGGAGAGTGAGAAGCTGCAGACTGCTCAGTCGGATGAGGTGGGATGGGAATCTGATACCTAGTACATCGCCCGCGTGCCCGTGAAGCCGGTCTTGCAGGTCATCGACTCCGTCCTGAAACAGCTGGAGGATGACCTGTGGCGGCTCGACAGCCATGGATCATCATCACATCCCGTCCTGCTGTGTTGGTAGTCAGAGTTTGTCTGTGTGTCGAGGCAAGAGGTGCAACGAGTGAAGCAACTCGATGACAGCCAAGATGATGAGCATCGGAAACTGAGTTGAAAAAGGTCTGAAGCCTGCAAGGGCCAAGCATCATGTACCTCACCTAACCTCTTACCTGAACCCCCTCGGTTACCTGCTGGTTAGAGGTTAGAGGTTTCCGCCCGTCAGATACTATCTATCTCCGTCAGATACCCACGAGTTAGAGGTTAGAGGTTTCCGCCCGTCAGATACTATCTATCTCCGTCAGGTACCCACGGGTCAGAGGTCGCCCGTCAGATACTATCTATCTCCGTCAGGTACGCACGGGTTAGAGGTTAGAGGTTTCTGTCCAACCTTCGCCCGGCAGCTACCCACCCTCCGCCCGTCAGCAACCTCCACCCGTCCGCTACCCACCTTCCGCGCGTCAGCAACCTCCGCCCGTCAGCAACCTCCGCCAGTCAGCAACCTCCGCCCGTCAGCTACCCGCCCCCCACGCGTCAGCAACCTGAGCCCATCAGCTACCCGCCCAACCTCCGCCCGTCAGCTACCCACCCCCGCACCAGCAATCTCTGCCCCGTCAGCTACCCACCCCCCTCACGTCAGCAACCTCCGCCCATCAGCTACCCACCCTCCGCCCGTCAGCAACCTCCGCCCGTCAGCTACCCACCCTCCGCGCGTCAGCTACCTCCGGCCGTCGGCAACCTCCGCCCGTCAGATACTATCTATCTCCGTCAAGTATCCACGGGTTAGAGGATAGAGGTTTCCGCGGGCGAGGTTCCGCCCGTCAGATACTAACTATCTATCTAACAACACCCCCCCCTCTGGTCGGGTCCGCCCCTCCGCCCGTCAGCAACCTCCGCCCGTCAGCCACCCTCCGCGCGTCAGCAACCTCCGCCCATTAGCAACCCACCCCCCCCTCAGCAACCTCCGCCCATCATATCATAACCCCCCCAACCTCCGCCCGCCGCCCGTCGGCTACCCGCCCTCGGCAACCTGCACCCGTCGGCTGCCCCCTCCGCCCGTCAGCAACCTCCGCCCGTCGGCTACCCACCGCGTCAGCTACCTCCGGCCGTGATTCTCTCTATCTCCGTCCACCACGAATTAGAGGTTAGAGGCTTCCGCCGGCAGCTTCCTCAGATACTGACTATCTATCTAACTCCCCCCCTTCTGGGTCTGCCCCTCCGCCCGTCAGCAACCTCCGCCCGTCAGCTACCCACCCTCCGCGCGTCAGCTATCTCCGGCCGTCAGCAACTTCCGCCCGTCGACAAGTAAGTACCGGCGGTTGCAGGTTTCCGCCCGTCAGAGACTAACATTCTATCTAACTACCCCCGCCCCCCCTTCTGGTCAGTTCCGCCCCTCCCCCCGTCAGCCACCTCCGCCCGTCAGCCCTCTGCGCGTCAGCAGCAACCTCCGCCCATCAGCTACCCGCCCAACCTCCGCCCGTCAGCTACCCACCCTCCGCCCGTCAGCAACCTCCGCCCGTCAGCTACCCACTCTCCGCGCGTCAGCTACCTCCGGCCGTCAGCAACCTCCGCCCGTCAGATACTTACTATCTATCTCCGTCAAGTAATCACGGGTTCCGCCCGTCAGATACTAACTATCTATCTAACTACCCCCCCTCTGGTCGGGTCCATACTAACTATCTATCTGACTAGCCCCCCCTTGTCTGGTCGGGTCCGCCCCCCTTGTCGTCAGCACCCTCAGCCACCCACCCGCCGCGCGTCAGCAACCTCCGCCCGTCACCTACCCATGTCAGCAACCTCCGCCCATCAGCTACCCGCCCAACCTCCGCCCGTCGGCCGTCGGCTATCCGCCCTCCTCGCGTCAGCAACCTGCACCCGTCGGCTGCCCCGCCTAATGGCCCGTCAGCTACCCACCCTCCGCCCGTCACCCATCAGCTACCCGCCCGTCAGATACTATCTATCTCCGTCATGTACCCACGGGTTAGAGGTTAGAGGTTTCCGCCGGCGGGTTCCGCCCGTCAGATACTCACTATCTCTCTAACTACCCCCCCCCCCCCTCTGGTCGGGTCCGCCCCTCCGCCCGTCAGCAACCTCCGCCCGTCAGCAACCCTACCGGGGGTATAGGGGTTACCCGGCGTACGCTCTGGGGCCAAGACAGCCAGGGCCGTTGCTGTGAAACTCGGTGCTTCCATCCCTTCAAGCCTTCGCAGCCTGACACTAGGATGGAGTCGAGTTATGAGCCACAGCCAGACGAGCCTGCAGCGAAGGCGAGCAGCTTGTAGCATCAACTTCTGCCATGACTGGGCGACGAGAGCGATCTCGTGCCAGATTCGGTGTGTGCCCGAGCCGTCAAGATGGTGCTCTGGAGCGTGGAGGGGATCCATGCCATAGCTTAGGTTTGCCCTTGATGCTGTTGCTTGGAGCGAGGGTGCCCAGCCTGCAGAGGCCATCAGGCAGACTGCAGTTTGTACATTACCGAGGCTGGGCTTGAGAAGGACTCCTACGTGGGCAGTCGCCTTTGGGGGCAGCGAGGCCTGAAGACTCGAAGACGGGGCCATGGGGCTTCCATGAGATTCCTTCGATCTTCGAGGCCTCTCGCGGGCTGCCGTAGCAGACAGCGCGATTCAAACTGACTTAGAACACGTGCCGTGCCCTGTCTTTTGAACAAAGCACCCGGGCCACCAGGGTGTCAAAGTGCAGCTGAGGTCCTTCCAGTGGGCCCTGCTTGTCCGCTGCGCTCTGCGACTATGGCGCTCCCCTTTGCTCGCTGGCTTCAGCAGTGCCTTGTCAAGCAGCTCGAGGTCCGGGGGAACTTTGAGAAAGAGATGGCCATGGTTATGATGATCGCTGCTGACAAAGCAGGCAACTTGGCTTTGAAGTCAGCCGTGACTGGAGACGAGCGGCCCTCTGCACTTGCAAGCTCTCTGTGCGGGTCCCCAGGCGACTTTGCCACTCTTGCCCAACAGATCGCAGCAGGCCCCCTCTGCTCTTTGCTAGCTTGCTGCATGTCGAACATGGTGCAGGAGTGCGGCCTGATCCACGACAACAAAGAAAGGCGTTTTTTTTTCCAGTTCGATCTTGAAAGGCCAGTCCTTCGACACTGTGAGCTGCGAAGAGTCTGAGGTGGGAAACGACCTGAAGCTACAGGCCAGAACCTTCGAGCCGTGGCCCATTAGGCATCGATGTAAGCGTGAGTTTACAGGGAGAGCGGCTGAAGACGCTCCTGGACAACATGGAGACATCGGCTGACTTCCAGGTGGGAGAGGAGAGTCCGCACAAGGAATGTTGAGAGTGCTGGGCGAAGATGCGGGGAGGTGCTGGAGGCCTACTTTGTCATGGAGTTGCAAGCCCAAGAAAGGGGGGCCCCTGGAGCGCGTACGGCCTGAACCTCGGCCTTTCCTCGGTTCTGCACGGGATAAGAGCAGCGGACGCTCTGGCTTCACAGTGTGCCATGAAAGATATGAAAGAGGATCGTATCCTGAAGGCGCCGTTCCATCACAGCATGCTGCGCGTACCCGAGGTGGAGAAGATGACAAGTTGGCAGGCGAGGCTGAGGGGATGTTGCAAGCTGCAGACAGCCAAGATCAACACTTTGCCTTTGCAAGGGCGCAGGCATCTTAGCAGAGGCCGATGGGATGATGGTACCGCCACCCCCGGAAGGACGGGATTGAAAGCCTTCAGTTCGTGTCCTGGGGCTTGTGATGACCTGACAGGTGTGGATCCTGTCGCGTTGTCGAGATCAGCGCCTGCCGGTTGCTGCCTCAGCTGAAGGCCCGCAGTCCGGCCACCGAAAGAACCATCGCTGTTGCCACCAGGTCCCGGCATGGTGAGGCGGGCGGACGCAACCAACCCAAAATTTCAAGTAAGGTCTTTCACGCGTTCCCTCAGCTTGCCGGGACTGCAACCCGTGCGTGCCCAGCGTGCGCCCCGCGTGTACCAGAACGACCGGGGACGCCCACCTGAGCCTTCGTGTGGAGTGTTCCGCACTGTTTTACCTCCGCGCTGTAGGGCCCTGTTGAGGCCGAGAAGCCTCAACAGCCAGGCGATGACCAACGCATGGGAGATCGCCCCCAAACGCTCGTCAATTGGCCGGAGTATAGGCCGACAACAACAACGGGATCACCCTTGGCAATTTCATGGCCGACACCGGTGCAAAGGCAGCACACGAGGAGACCACTATGTTGTGCACGTGTCGCGTCATCAATGTAACAACCATGAGATCACCAGGAAGCCACCAAGAGAGCAACAAGAAACTACCAGGAGACCACCAGGACAGTACGAGTACGAAGAACATCCCCAAAATCAAATTCACTGGGATTATCAGAATGCTTCCCCGCCTCGTCTGGGGATTTCGAGCGTTTTGAGAGCACCACCCTCAAATTTGCTCGCCCCATGTACTGACGGGATCCAGCGTGATGCAGGCACCGTTGGCACAATGCTTCCCTTGCCTTGTGCTTTCAGGCTTTCAGGGCATCATGGCCAAAATGCCCCCACGTGCTGGCCGGATTCAGAGACGAGCCCAAAATAAGCGCCGCGGCACAGCGGGACCGTGGAATTCTCGAGCCTCGGGGCCGCCGCAAGAACACATGAGCAAACCCGCACGAGAGGAGGAGTCTTCTATCCAAGCATGTCCCACGCACTAAAAACAGCATTCGCGGCGGCTTTGGGCTGTTGAGCATTGTTGAGCCTATGCCTAGAAGACAGATGGGCTTGAGCGGTTTTTCCAGCCTACCGCATCCTGTCCGTGTCCCCGCTCAGTCAGCCTCGGGCGCCCCGGGTGCTGCCGTTCACAGCCGCGGCCTTAGACAACAGTGTCAGCAGTAGCTGCTCGAGTTGGAGTCCACGTGACCTTGTGAAGCAGGAAGAGAGCTTCAAAGGAGTAGCTGGGACAGAGATGCTGGAGGCAGGTCTTGATTTGTTTGAGAAGAGACTCCCTGGTGCCATCGGCTGTAGTCTGTAGCTGTATCAGTCGCGATGATTTTTTCGTCCCATGTACACGACAGGCAGAGTATACGAAGCTGGTAGATGAGGCAGCCGTCCATGTAGCACTTCCACCAGCCTCCACGTCACATCCATTGCGAGCTGGGTTGTTGAAGTGGCCTTTACACATGCCTGCCAGCATCGCGAGCTTGTGTCCTTCGGGGAGAAATATGCAGAGTTTGACCAAGCAGGACAGGAGGCCAGCATTCGCAATCCTTTCCAGCCACTGCTTTGTAATTATTGGAACGCTGGTATGCGGCCTTGCTTCTTCTGCCCAGTTCTACCTTGACCGGATGCTGGACATGACGTGAGCGCCTCAAGCTGGCCCTTTCTGCAGCAAGAGCAAGGCCACTCGTAGGGCTTGCTCAAGTGTCCCGGCTTGCTGTCGATGCGCCTGTGTTCGTTGTCCTCCACATGCCTCCATCCCCTACCGTACTGGCAACCGCCGTTATCGAGGCAGCGCTGGTGGGATGTCATGAGCGAAGCCAGGCGGGGCGAAGTGGGAATCCCGCGGTGCACATGAGCATGTTCGCATGTCGGGCTGCAGCGTGCCGCGCAAAGAAGCTCTAGAAACTCCAAAAGAGCCTGAAGCTGCGAAACATATGGCAGCCAATGCCCGGGCCAGGAAGTTCGGAATCAAACCGGTTCGCGCCTTCGAGGCTTACTCGCAGGCTTGGGACTTGGGAAGTAAGGAACGCAGAGTCAGCACTAGTCACTCGGCTTGGTGTTCTCGGAGGAATACCTGAGCCAATCGGGGCTTACTCCCCGAGGCTATCGAGACTTGGCCCGCGGCCCAGCAGAGTGATTTGGTTCTTGGACTCTTTTGGCCTTCCGAGGTGGATGGTGTGCATGCATACCTGCGGCAAAAGGCCCGTCCCTTGGCTCGACCTGCACAGCAGAACTCGGCACGGCTGGAAGGCTGGTTGAGGCTATGCGGCTTGAGCAAGACGTTCGGCACTTCATCAGGAAGGCATAGTTGCGGCTTGGCCGGTGTACATATTCTGGATGCGACAGCAGGGTCAACCTGTCCCCGTTACGTGCATCATCGTGCATCTTATATGGTGAAACTGGGTCACTAGCATGGTGCTACTGCTTTTGTGCATGCATGTGCCTGTGTGTGACACGGTTCATGCATTGTCTCAAGCTGTGATACCTCCCACAGCGTCGGCAGACGACTGCCAAGCTCGAGGCCTGCTGTCTGGAAAAATATTCACTCGTCTGGGAGCTCTTTGCTGACAGTGTCAGGAACCATGGCTGCAGACATGGCGCAAGTGTTCGCCGTGCCGGCAGAGGTGGAGCGCGGACCCGTGAAAGTCGGAGGAGCGCGCAAAGTGTGGTGTCGTTGCAGGTTCTTCCCAGCACTCGTGGGGGGCCCTTTTGCTTGCGAAGCCGCGAAGCCGCGAAGCCGCGAAGCGCGCCGGCCTTGCGGTTCCCAGGCCAAGTAGCGAGACTCGCGAGACCCGCACCTTCGAGGCCGAGACTTCACCCAGCCCATCCCAGCCCCAGCTCTTTGAGTGTTTCTCTGTGACACCGAGGCAAAGGCCAGCCATGTCTGCAGCCGAGGCCGAGGCACAACTCGGATTCGGATTCGAGCAGATCCTTTCAAGTTGCAAGCGCGAGTGCTCGCCGCTCGCAGGCCTCCTCAAGCACCTCCTTCCGGCTCGCTGGACTCAGTGCCGGCGCTGCAGCAGACCCTCGGCTTCTTTTCAAAAGAGACTTCCGTCACGGTCTGGTCTGGGCGGAGAGAGGGTTGTGCTCATTCCTTCCGTGCAAGGTACTAGTTGCCAGTCGCAGACAGAGGACCTGTGCCAGTTGTCTCGGAGCGGGTTGAGCCATGTCCTGCATGATAAGCTATCTTGGCTCGTTTGGCTCCAGGTCGTATGTGGTCGAAGCGTCCTGTAGCAAGTGTCCGTGGCGAACAGTTTGTACGCTCCCCCATTGTTCGACGAGCAGCCGAAGCATGTTGCAGACCAAGAGCGGGCGGTGAAGCATGAGCGGGCGTTACCATTCTGAGACTTCTGAGAGTTATGCGGCAATGCCTAGCCTCGTCGAAGTCAAGTTTGGTGTAGGTTTACCGGGACCCGCTGACCGCGAAGTGACAAGAGCCTTAAACACGACAGACTCTGTTCTTAGGGAGCCGCTGGCGACAATTTATAAGCGTGCCTGTGTCTTTCTATTGTTGGGGTCTCACGCGCGTGATTGCCTCGTGGACTGCGAAGGGGAGCTTCTTGCCCATCTGCCCTCCGACCGCTTCAGGATCTCGACTCGAGCCAGGACTGTGCGAGAGGCCAAGGTGCCAATTTGTAGTCAGGGAGTATGAGGAAGATGTGCTCATGTGCCGGGTTCCCGGCGTCTGCTCTTTGGCAACGCCAAGTTTGGACATGCTGTGCGAAGAGATTCAGCAGAGGGCGGCTCGTGTCTGCAGTGACAGGCGAGAAAAATCTTGTACAGAGAGGACGGCCGCAAAAATGCATCAGCCTCGGTGATGATGAAGTGCAGCATAGTGCAGCTCTTGGCAGCCTACTCGAGCCACCCAGTTGATGCGGGGCATCGAGAAGCTTGCAGAGACTGTGGCAGTGACTCTCGGACCGAGAGGGCGGAACGTCCTCCTGGACAAGGCATCGTCGCCATCGCTGAGACACGGGTACTTGGGGTGGGAATGGGCCTGTCCGGTCTTGGCTGCTCGCGCACTTGTGCAGGGCGAGTTCTCTGCACCGCAGATCGTGAACGATGGTGCCAGTCCCGGCTGTATTGGAGACGACACGTTTCTGCCTGCTTCGTGAAGTATAGGTGTTACCATCGCCAAAGAAATCGAGCTGGAGGATCAGGCAGTCGCAAAAATCCGCACGCGTGGGATCCGTGATCCTGGCAGCGGAGGTGGAAAACACCGGCGTCCAGCTGATCAGACAGGCATCCGCGAAGACGAACGACGTGGCGGGAGATGGTACCACGTCCCCCAGCGTGCAAATTGGGAAGCGGGGGAGTTCAGGAGTTCAGGAGCTGTTGCGCTCCCAGGACCGCCACCATCTTGGCTCATGCCATGGTGAAGAGTGGAATGAAGCAGCTGGCCGCCGCCTGAGCGCCGCCTGAGCGCCGCTTCGCCGTCTTGAGCTCTGCGCTGCGCCTTGGCACACCGAGGTCGGGGGAGCCAACCCTGTTCAGATCAAGTCCGGCATGGAGAAGGCAGTGTCCGAGTGTGAGCACCTCCCGAACCCCTTTCCACAACTCACAGAGCCCAATCTGTCGAGGCTGCGGCGTACATTGTCGGGCAGATCGAAGACATGGCGTTGGCCTTGGACACTTGCTCTCAGAGGGGCGTGAACATGCGATGGGCTTTGCCGACCGCCCACTGGTAAGGCCGCGCCGGTGAGTGACAAGGACATGGACAAGATCGAGCAAGCACTGCACTGAATTGTTTTCGAGCAGACCCTCGTTTATAGTGATATAGTCTGATATAGTATATATATATATAGTTTGGTGCTGGTTGTATGCAGGGGCAAGGGTCCATGTATTTGTTCTTTCCTCCATGCTATGCTTCAGGTTTGGAGTTGTGCTTATGCCGATGTCAATGAAGGATGCTGCTGGTCTTGTTCTTGGCCGCTGCTGCTGCTGCTCGAGGTAGTAGTGGCTATATTGAGCCTGCCAGCTTTTTCTGCCGATCTTTGCCTCTGCTACCGGAGCGCACCCCCAAGACCCGAACCCTCGCCCCGATCCGGACACGGGCTCGGACACCCGGATCCGGAATTGTTCGTGGTGGTGCTCGGGTGCCATGGCTGTGGCTAGGCCATGCCGAACGCCGAAACCGCAATATTTCAGGTTTATCACAGGGGCGACCCGAACGGTGCAGAACTTGCAGCATTTTCTGGAACCTTCCTCCATGTGGCGCAGCTCTCGTTAAGTCGCGGAGGTCGAAGCTTCATGATCATAATGACCCTCCTTACGTTGTAAGTTGTGCAGCTGTCATTGCGAGTTTCTTGGACGTCGGGTCACAGTCGCTCCTAGTGACTCACCATCTCGCTCAGCTCCTGCAGTTTGTTCTCCTTGCAATCGCTCTTCAAAGGCTTGTTCTTGCTCTGTGACAGTCTGGAGCGACCGTGTTGTTGCAAAAGTTCCCACATGTTGACCGATTCCAAGGTGGGAGCCATCTCTGCGGGTGGAGACGACGAGGCCATGGGTCCGTAAAGTCTCATCTGAATCATTCTGAATCCCTCTTCGCCCCATTCGCGGCCGCAGAGCGCGCCCTAGGCGGGGAAGATGATCGCAGATGCCATGGCCAAGGAGCGGCTTTCTCCAACGAATTGTGCACAGATGCCACAGTCATCAGGGGGCCGGAGAGGCATTTTCTGTTCAGCTGCATCTTTCTGGGAGGTCGGTGGAAGTGGTGTGATCTCTTTGGAGGAGCCAGTGGCCCATGTGCCAGGATGCATCTCGACAGAGTGCTAGAACCGTTCCTTGGAGGTCCCAATCGACCACTACCGAAGTGGAATTGACAGAGGGAATGAACTTGGACAAGGCCGGACTGTTGCCATGGTTTCTTGCAATAAAATTCGTGGGCTGCCTTGCCCCCTCAGGGATATCTGTCGCCGTACCTGTGCCTCGATGCGTCCAACCCGACGAGCCGAACTTGGGAAGCGCCCGGGGCTCAGAAGCGTGCTTTGCTTTGCATCAGTTGGACATGCTGTGGTGAATTCCTAAGGAATGCACCGCTCGTCCTGGTCACGGACCAGAAGATCTCCATGGCCCAACAGGCGCTTTGCTTGGAGTGATTTCACGCTCCTTCCCGCTGATCCTGGCAGGAGTTGATCCCCATCTTGACCATTGCAAAGCAGATGTCCAAGCCACTTCTTGTCGTGGCGGACACCATCGAGAAAGAGGCGAAAACATGCTGAAATGGCTTAGCAGCACGCCCGACTCAAAGAAGTTCTCAGGTGCTGGCGACATTGATCGTAAACAAAATTCGAGGCATTGTCGACTGCTGCTGAAGCCTGAGTCGTCAGGTCACGTGCATTACTGATCCTGTGAGCATTTCTTGGACTGCGGTGCCAAAGCAGGTGCGATTCAAGCACCCGGTTTCGGTGACAACCGAAAGGCCATTCTGCAGGTGTGGCAAAGCTGCATGTTGTGAAAAGTTGGCAATTCCATGAGGGTACGTGCCAGCCGAAACGTGCTGCAGGACATTGCCTTGGTGACCAACGCCACGCCGATCCCTGAGACAAATCACCCGAATGTGGTGCGGGACACGAGAGTTCTCAGGTACATCACAGAGGACCTGGGCCGCAAGCTGGAGTCCATCACGGCCGAGGACTTCGGCTGGACTCCAAGAGTCCGGAATGACTCGGAAGCTATGCTGCCAGCCACCACAGCAAGGCTCAGCCCGCCGAATATCCGTGGGCAAGGACCAGCTGCAACTCCAGTTGACCTTTGCAAGTGGTGTTGGGAAAGCAGAAAGGACTCGACCACAATTGTAGCAGATGCACCCAAAGAGGCCACGTGAGCACACCGCATCGGCTCCAGAGTTTTGCAGACCGTTCGCAGGCTCTGGAAGAGCGCTGCGAGCAGCTCCGAAGGTCCCAACCCAGGGTCTTCCGAGAGAGGCCGCGCTCTGCTCTCTGCGCTCTGCTCTGCGAGGCAAATCGAGGAGACGAAGAGCAGCTACACGAAGGAGCAGCTCGAGAAGCGCCTCGCCAAGCTTGTGGGCGGCGTTGCCCTGATCAAGGCGATGACCTGCGGTGGCGGCGCGGAAGCTGCAATTTTCGAACATGGCTGCAGGTTGGTGCGACAACAGAGACTGAGCTGAAGGACACCAGCTGCAGTGAAGTGTTCGCGGTGTTTCGGTGCACCGCTGGCAGGACAAGAAGCTCCGACTGGAGGATGCGATCAATGCGACCAAGGCAGTGGGGTGGTCCCGTTGTCTCTGCCCTCTGCTCGTTGGCCCACAGAGCAGGCCGCCGTGGATGAAGGCATCGTACCCGGCGGAGGCGCAGCTCTGTCGCTCGGCTCTTCGGCCCTCAGAGAGACTCGCCTAGTCATTTCCCGCGGCGCCTCAGGTGCCACCTCTCGCAAGCGCTGCGCTCCTGGGCGCCGGAGAATCTCTCGGAGGCGCTCCGAGCAGCGCAGCCGCTGCTTAGCCTCTCCCTGCAGCCTGCAGCAGATGGCTTTTCTTCTGGCACTTTCGTGTCTAGGACGAGCTAAAGGGCGCCCTCATCGTTGCCGACTCCATGAGCGCACCTCTCAAACGCATAGCGGCGCGGCCAGCACGATTGCGCTTGAGCATAAGGGATGAAGACGTCATGTGTCGGAAGAACATCAACGCTGGCAGCTTGCCAGGAAAACTCTGGCCAAAATGGCGAGCTCGTTGCCGAAAAGGCACGCTGAACATGCACGATGCCATGAGAGTTGTTGCAAACAAAGAAGCCGACGCTGTCCCTATGAACTTTGCGCTTCAGGTCTTGTGTCGCCGTCAGAAGCTTTCGTAAAGATTTTGGGTCTGAATGCTTGAAGAGACTCGCCTTAAAGCGCTGATCTCCGCTGAGAGGTAGCGGAATGCCTTGTTCAAGGGAGTTAGGCCAATAGTGTGAGAGTGACCTGGATTTGGCTTACGACTCAGACCTTGAGCTGATACAGCTGTGGGAGAAAGCCTTCGTATGAGAAAGCCTTCGTATTGACATCGCAGGCTTCTAGGTGCAGTTTGGTCCATACGGTTTCGATTTCAACAACGATCCCGTGCCGCCGCCACCCCTACAACCATCGCCTTGTGTCGGAATCGCATCGGCAGTTCGGCCCAGTGCGGAAACTCCTCTTAGTATGCTGGCTTTCAGAGGAAGTTGATGCCCCGAGTTCGAACCCCATGTAGATGTCGCCCTCGTGGCCGCATCGCCTGCAATTGCGTAAACATCCTGCCGCAAAACATGACATGTGTGAAAAACACAGCATGGGCTTTTGTGCATCGTTCTTTACGCTCGAAGATGCACTCGCGAAATGCGGCATGGGCAAGGGCCGTCCAAAGGTATGCTGCCTTTTAAGATGCTGGTGATGGCTTGGCTTTGCCAAGCTATCAGTCTGTCAAAAAGAGAGAGTCCCCTGTGCAGAAGATTTCATTCCCGCGTTGACTGGCAGGTTGCAGATACAGCAGACACGAAGCAAGGACTGGCTGCTTCATCTTGCACGACTCAGCTGGCAAGCATTGACGAACATGAATCTGATTCCAAGTGTGCAGGCTTTGACGCGCTGATGCTGGAGTATGCGGACATGCTCGAGCAGCTTGACTGAACGCTTTCTGCTCGACGTCAAGAGTTCGTGGGCGTCCCAGGCGGGGCATCATCGATCCGGCGAAGGCTTGATGTGAGACAGCCGGCTGATCACTTAATCACTTATCCTCAGCGCTATGCTTTGGAGGTCACCCGATCCGCCCTGCAGAATGCAACCTCAATTGCATCCATGATTTTGACTACCGAGTGTGCCAGGGGCCGACAGGGACAACTGCATGATGGTGGTGATTGTGATGATGCTGCAGCAGCAGCTCTGTGCTCAGGTGGTCGTCGATGCTGACAGCAAGGATGAAGATGCCGACGATGGGGAGGAGGATTTTGACGTTTTGCCGGCTTGGTTGAGTCGTTTTTGTGAAGAAGGCTGAGGCAAGTCGGAAAGGGAACGAGGATCTTCATGGCTGCCAGGATTACTGAGGCCAAGAGCTTGGTGGCAGCCTCAGTTCCATTCTGTAAGCACGTTCAGCACAGGAAGAGTTTTCTACTCTCAGCTACACGGCTTTGGTCCCAGAGGCTTTGAATTGGCCGACTGTGCTGTAACCTGATTACGTGACGGTTGCTGGTCATGTGCCTCAAGGCTTTCTGAGTTTACCCGGACGCATAATTCAACAGATACTCCACACTGTATCACTCGCAGTTCACTTTGAATCTTTATCCGGGACAGTAGAGACGGGGCACATGGAACCATTTTTGTCTGTGCACGCGGGCCACTTGCAGTCCTGCGGTCTTCATGTTGCGTAACTAAGCACAGCCTCCTTTGTCCGGGTCCCAGCCCGGAGAGAAGATCGCACAACTCGACTTGCACGATGTGTAGCATTGATCCCGAAGGATGGCCAGCGGGGATGAGATAAAAAGTGATTGCAGAACATGTCGGACGTTGAACGACCTTGCTAAAGAAAGAAGGCCAGACCGTTTCCATTCAGATCTGTCATTTCTCTCATCCCCGGGTAGAGTGACTCAGAGTTGAGTGTCCGGTGTGTGCACTTTAATCGTGCCGCCTTCTTTGCCAAGCCGGAGACTGGGAGTGAGCACTTGCAAGCCATGCAAGCCCAGCCCAACCCCTTCTCTCAGCTCGTCTCTGTCGCTTGGTATCTCTTGATCCTCGGAGCAGAGGGTGCCAAAGACTCATAGACTGGCCAGTCGGAAGAAATGGCCGCGACATTTGGCCAGAGAGCCTCTGCCTCGCGGCTTCTGAGGCTTCCTTGAAGCTGAACCACACCTTATCGGTGCTCAGCCACCTGTCAGCTCGAAACATGGAGAATGCCCTAGTCCGGGTAATCAGCAAGCACTCGCTCTACCCAATGACGTGGACCAGTTTGTCTTTCGTGCGTCGCTTGGTGTTATCATCTTCTCTATGCAACCTGAGACAAGCCTTTGGCCGCCTCGCATGCATTATTGCAGTCTAACTAAACCTTAGTTCAACTCAAGAACAGCACTTGTTTATAACCGTTAAGTTAACCTAAAACGCAGTTATCTGCCACAAACATTAGTTTCGCTTCGTGGAGAACGCTGGAGGCCGACAACAGCGTTCATGCTCTGAGGGTTTGCATTTGGACAGGATCGTCGTATGTTAGCAGCATGCGTGGCAGGACTGATGGCTCCGCGGTGCCATGCCTCAAGAGTCGGATGGAAAGTTGGCCGACCTTGCTCGCTTGTCACGCCCTTCGACTGAAACGAACTGGTGCGCTTTTGGAAAACAAAGACCACTGTGAAAGTCTTTTTGGTTCATGCATTTCCGATGCCAGCGTCGTCGAAGTGCAACAGAGACGTCTGTTGACAAGCCCGGCGGCGATGAAAAGCTTGGGGCTTGGTGCATGTGGAGACGTTGGCAATTTTTCCATGGCTTTCCACCCTGCCAAGGGTGTTCAAGAAGAGCGCCACAGCACGAGCCCCAGAAACGAAGAGCTCGGAACTGGAAACTGCTGCAGTGCGCTTGTGGAGCAAACCGAATCCCAGGACCACCTCGATTCCAAGACGCATCCCCGACGAGTTTGCGGCAGAAAGACATGTTCACCGTTCGCGGAGATAGGCGGCCGATATGTGCGGCCTGGGCTAGAGTCAAGGCATACAACCCTGCCAGTACAGAGGCAGATCATGGCATCTTTGCCGATCCTTGCCATCGTTTCGAGGGTAAAGGCTGAAGGCTCTAGGCTACAAAGTTTGTGTGCGCCGCTCAAGATCTTCACAGGATCGGACATGTGGATGGGGAAGGTTGCTTTAATCTGCTGATGATGGGCATGGTCATTGTATTGATGGCAGGACGAGAGCTAGAACCTTCACGGAGGGTTGCGGGATCCCGCATGCCACAAGTCTGCCTGCGGAGACCGCGGTCCCGATCTCAGGAGGGTCACGTGGAAGATCCCAACGCCCAATATGTTTCAGATCACAGGCGCCTGTGACTCCAAGGACAAGGACCTGCCACCGGAGACGACAGGGGTTGCCCGAAAGCACGGCTCCCAGACACCATGCGGCTTGCGGGTCTTGGTCGCGGCTTCGTGCTGAGGTTCAGGTCTGCAGTGTCGAGAGTAGCTCTGGCCGTCAGGCCGACCTTGATCAGGCTCCTCGCCTCCTCGCCACTTGTATTCATCCGGCTCTCACAACATGAAAGGACCCGTGTGGCAGAGGATGTGGCACAAGCCACGTCGGAGTTCGACAAAGATCTCGAGGAAAGACGGCACTGCATCCCGAGCCCGGTCACAGCAGCCACAGCGTCTGTGAGAGGCCTCCCTCATGCCACCGGGAAGGAATCGCCCTGCCGGCGACCTAAGTGCGGTGCAATCCAGCTCTGACTCGTCCGAACGATCAGAATGAGCGCTTTTAGCTCTCCTTTCCAGGGCATCGCGGAGATCGCCTTTGATAGCGGCTCCTCCCAGTGACCGGGGTAGGGTTTTCTTCTCGTTGCGTAATGTCAGCGTTTGTGAGGTACTGCCTAATATCCCATGCAGCCTTTCCAGAGCAGATGCTGGAGCGGGTTGTTAAGCCCGCGAGCTGCCCAGAGCAAAAAAAGCATCGGCTGCGTGTGGTCTTGCGGCGAATCGGGTCATCCCAACATCGTCGTGCTGAGGAATGGGGTCTTCGAAATCCCAACCTCATCCTCTCCATCATGGGAGGTGGGCATGCGCATGTCCCTCAGCCTCTACCTGCCGACTTCTGCACCAGGTGCAGGGAACATGAACTTGCCTCCCGACAAGTTCGACCTTGAGGGCTTCTCGCAGGGACTGGTTGAGGCGGGTGAGTAGCGAGTCAAACCACACAGAATGGTGAAATCGCCAAGGCGGCCACGCGCACCTCTGGCTGGGTGATAACTGGCGGCACCGCCAGTGGAGTGATGGACATCGTCGGCAAGGCCAGGGCGGCTGGTGCCTCGCTGCCGAACCAATACGCCATATAGTTCGCTCTTGGCGCAGGCAATGCAGAGACACGACAAGCAGCGCCAGGCCGTCGTCATCGTCCTCCATGGCTTCTCTGGCTCCTCTTGGTACATCGGCTTGTGAGGTGCCGTGCCTTGGCATCACCCCGTATGGCAGCCATCTCAGACTCAGATGCATTCAGACGTCTTTCAGCTCAGACGAGATACCGTCATTCTGAAGCTCAAAGGCGCGCTCACCTGCAAATGGCGTGACCTCATCAATTCAGCCTACGTCAGGGTCCCAAAGTGAGAGGAAGGGGGTAGGCGCCTCCGGCACTCGCAGCAGTTCTAGCATGTTCTAGCCCTAGCTTTTGAGGATCCGGACTTCTCTGCTGCGACAAAGGTCCCGTTCCAGCCTGAGCTTGTCCCAGTGAGCATACCCAATGCCCTTTGAAATTGCAGGTAGATGCTGCTGCCGCGAAACCTGCAGAGGGGGCGACACCAGAAACCGATGGAAACATTCCATTGGCGGCTCTTCAGGATTTCGGCTTCGGTGCAGACTTCCCATGGAAGTTCTCCTGTGAGAAAAGACCGCCACCAGGACAACCACTCTCACTTCATCATTTGTGATAACGGCGAGGCAGAGCCGGTCGTCAGATGCTTTTGCCCTGGCGATGACATGTCGGTGGTCGTCAAAATTAGGGTCGCTTTTTGGGTACCCTAAACCTGAGGTGCCGTACTCTAATAGGGACCCAAAAAGCGACCCTAATATTGACAACCACCCATGTATACTTCCCTCCGTGACAGGTCGGAAGCAAAGCCTTCGGTACCGAGATCCAATTCCGCAACGCGCTAATCTTGCAGCCCATGTGCCGTTGGCAAGTCCGCGCCCAACATGTCTAGAATGCAGTGCCAAGGCACGAAGTTCGAAGAGTTCGTGACGAGGGACCGGAAAAGCGCTGAACCCCTCTGCAGTGAAAGTCTCTCGAGACCGGCAAGCGCAGGGCGTGAATGCCGGCGGCCTGCGAACTCGAGTTCCGCGCGTGCCGGCACCCAGACCTTGCCGCCACACCAGAGGGCTCGCGCCATAGTTTCTGTTTGCCCAGGTCATGATTTTGGTGAACGGTGGCAAAATCTCGCTGACTTCGCTGGTACAGGTCGCAGTCTGCCGCAGTCCAGGCAACCGTTCCGTCAGCCACTCTGCAGGCCATCAACACCGGCTGCCCTCTCGTGGTTTGTCAAGGCAAGACTTTGTCTGCAAGAGTTGCATGGCCGGCTTCCCTTAGCCCCCGTTCCAGGAACTGGCCGCATTGCGGATGTGATCTGTCGGATCCTCGAGAAGCCGTGCGTGGCAGAGACGGATGACGAGATTGGCGAGGCGCAGCCACATTGAAACATCAACATCGTATCAAACGCAATGGAACAAGTAGACAAAAGCAGCAGATCGGATTTGGCTGGGCAGGAGAGTGGTTCGGACGCGGACAAGGATGAAGACGCCCAGTTCCGACAAGCGTTGGACCTCGCCGTGAAGGAAGCGCTGGGGCTGGTCTGCCGTGCTGTGTGTGATGTCAGCCATGTCAGAGACGCGGTGCACCTGGCAGGAGTTCATGCCAAAGGACACTTTGAGCTCGGAGGATGTGGCGAACTTCCAGACCATTGCCGGGAACTCGAAGTCTCGTATCGGCAGAAGTGTCGCCCGGCGCGGCCAGGTCCGGAGTCAGATGGTGGAGATTTACACAATCAACGATCGCTTCGAGGATGGAAACTCGAGCCTTTCGATTGGGTCATGTCACGCGTCATGTCAGGACGTGGTGCTGCGGGCGGTGTTGGGCAATGCCATCGCTATGTGTGCCAGTAGGTCTAGAGAGAATGTCGGTGTATGGAGATTCCGGCATGTTTGTGATTTGCGCGCGGGTGGGCCGCATGGACCACTGGAACTAAAGCCAGTCGTAGGGCAAGATGCGCGGCGACTCGTCACTTCACTGCGGTCAAAGCGCAGCACCCTGATGCACCCTGATACAGATTTACCATCTAATCTATGCCAAGTCACGTCAAAGCGCTTGCGGAG